GATACAGCACGCTAACTCGACACAGAAACATATACTATTCACGGTAGCTCACCTCTAGCCGTTCTACCAACGCGATGAACATACTCTCGAGCGGTGTCGGGCATATCAGCATTGAGAACAGCCTTCACGTCAACGAAGTCAAGCCCTCTGCAAAGCAGCACAGTTCCTTCCCCCAACTGTCAGTTCCCTCACAACCCTCACCTGTGTATAGCTTGCTCCTCGGCGCCCGATCCCGAAACGGCCTGGTTTGTTGCAATGAGAACGTCAATCGCGTTCATGTTGAAGGACTCGATGATTTGGTTTCGACTCAAGAAGGGCAACTCGTAGTTCAGCACGGCAACACTTCCCATTGAGAACTTATCCAACAGCAGCTTGTAGCGATAAGCACTGTCGATATCCTTGGCGAATATGAGCGTCTTGCCCACCAGAAGCTTCAATTTTAACAGCCCATAAACAACAAGGTACTTCTCGTCGGGTCTAAGGGGAAGGTAGAACTGCTTCAAATGGCCCTCGCCAGCAGCAGCGCCGCTCTCAGCCTCCTCTAACTTGACTATAACCGGCTTGTGCAAGCAAAGGCCCTTTAGGGTCTCCACATCATCGTTTAGGGTGGCACTTAGTAACATACATTGGTAACGATCGAGGTATCCCAACACGCCTTTGATGTCTTCTTCGTACCCATAGGACAGCATAAGGTCAGCTTCGTCGATCACAAGATGTTTGATCGTTGGACCAAGGTCCTTCCGAGACTTCAACACAGAGAGGCAAGCAGCAGGAGTGCACACCAAAATGGTAGGCAGGGCCTTTCGATAAGGATGCGTCGTAGTGTGCATATCACATGAGATAACGTCGAAGGCGTAGTGCAAGAGCGAGTTCACGACTTGATTCACCTGCAAGGACACTCCATAGAGTCGGCACTACTGCGATGAGAGCTCTACCTGCACACAGAGTTCCTTGGTAGGTACCAATACGAAGGCCGTCAGTGGGTGCCGGGATCCACTCTTGGGCGCTGTAGCGAGAAGCTGCTGTAGTAAAGGCACTACGTAGGCTATAGTTTTACCGCACCTACATCACAATTCGCGCCCAATCACAACAAAAATAGAGATGCCGACGAGGACCCAGAAGTACTACCCGGTTCTAGCCTTGACTAAGACGTCTTTACTTTCCAGCACGGGAGGGATGGCTCTCGACTGCACGAGCGCCGGCCTCTCGAACTGTAGCTTATTCAAAGCCTTCGATATGCGACGATCTGCCCAACAAAAGCCGATACCACACCTTCCGAAATCTCTAGTCATGCGAATGGCAAGGGGGCATCACATTAGAATATTTAGACGGCCCTGCGAACCCCGTACTACCTATACCATGCTTCTCGCAGAAGTCACTCCAGTTTATAGAGTAGTCTAAGACCGCATAAGAGAGCTCCCCTTGCGGCTGCTCCTCTACCTGCGGTGGTTCAGAACCGCCTTCGGTTTCCATTGACATGAAGGAGGAGTCTGCGAGAGTGCTGATGGGAAAGGCTTGAAAGAACGAGGCGCACGCGATGGAAAAAGGCGGAGCGAAGCAAGTTTTTTGTGTCACTTTGAAATGCTCTTCGTGGCTTGATCCATTTAACCTTCAATTGAATGCGATGCACTTTCACGGAGTCTTCACTGATATTAGACGAATTGTTCTCGAAAAAAATTTTCCCGTACTTGTGCGAATCGAACTAACAAGGCGAATTTCGCAGAAAGACTAGAGTCTAGTTCGAAAATCCGATCGAGCATTGATGATGCCACTAAGCATTCGTGTATTTCTTCGAATAGTTTACGTAGGAATGAATCTCTCCACGACTCTGGACAGAGCATCGTTATGGCGCATAGATACGCTTCAAAGGGTGATGCCCTTTATCGAGAGGGATATCCCTTTGGTCCCGGAAGCTCTGCAACACATTGCATCAGAATTACGGTCTACCTGTGAGCGCAGGGCTGTTATATTGTATAGAGCCCTGAGTTGGCTCCTACCCCCCTTCTTATTCGTCCTCTACTGGTTCGCCAACTGCGATAAGAGTGTGTTCGTCCTTATATTCGTTCGCCCTATTGTCGATGGGTGGCTTGCACCATACATAGGCACCAAGCCTAAGAGGCTGGGTGACTCTGCTTTAACTGCACAAGAACTTGTAATCTTCGGCATTGGCCTACACGTTATCCAGCTTATTTATCTATACCATACTGTATCGATTTTGAGTAGCCCGTACGGCTTCTGTAGTAATATTTTCCTCTTCCTCGTCACAGGATTCACTAGCTACTCTTATTGGGTCACCATCGTACTATGTATCCTCAAGAATGCCATAATCTCGATCATATCAATTACTCAGTTGCCTGTTCTCGACACCATCCATCAGGAATACATATCGGCGTATTGGTGTAGCTGTGCTATCGTATTAGCAGTGCTCACCCCGGTCCATCTGGAGACTATCGCAAGGATTGTGGCGGAGCGGGAGGCCGACAGTTACAAGTCCCACATGCACGATTTGCTACGGGCGAGCTTTGATGCTACTATTTGGGTTGACAACGACTTGCGTGTTGTTGGTGATTCTGACCCCAGACTGGACTACGTTTTCCTCACACCGATGTGTGGTAATTCCCTGCTGGACTTTGTGGAGGACGAGACTGAGCGTGAACGGTTCGAGGCCTATGCGGCTAAGTCGATGGCATCGAGATCGACAACACTGTTTCATGCGACTTTCCGTACGGCAGCTGAGGAGGGGTGTCGGAATTTCGATGCGGACGTGTATATGACTTCTAAGTACTCGTTGTGGCTACAAGCTGGCCAACAGCATTTGATTGGTCTTCGCCTCCGAGATAATCGATCAGAACCAGGGTCGCCGAAGCAAGCTAGTGCCGCCCATTTCCTCGATGGCTTATCGGTGCAATGGGAGTGTTCGGAGTGTCGCTGTGTTAACTTCGACAAGGCTGATACGTGCATATTGTGTGAACGATCGCGAGATCAGTTGTTGGGCCTCGTAGACAGATGTAGCTCTACAGTGGGTCGGAGTCGGCATCCTGCTAGTTCTACTAGGAGCTTCATTTTTGACACTATCTATGAAGATGAGGAAAGTGAGGAGTGTGGTGGTGAAGGTGCTTTGGTTAATGGTCCGGAGGAGTTGAAGGGAACTTGACTAGGGCAACAATAATGTCAATTTCCTCAAGTATAGTTCTCTGTACAGTTACGTAATATTCGGGCAATTTGAAGCGTTCCTATGTCGAGTTGAGTGGTTGCGTATAATAATTTTTTCCTTTGCAGTTTTATTCGATCGTTCTTTAGATGCCTGAGATGGGCTCATGTAAAGAGCCGAAGTATCAGGCGTGGCTAAAGCGGTTAATTCCGAAGTGTTTACGCCACAATCAGGAGGATGGAGTGCCGCGGGATGCCCAGCTTATATGTGCGGTTAATGTACCTAAACTGTGCAGTAAATGTGTCCAAGGCTGGTCCAACTCTATTATGACCAGCAAATATACTATTCTTACGTTTCTGCCGAAGAACTTGTGGTACCAGTTCCACGTCTTCTCCAACGTCTATTTCCTGTGCATGGCAATGTTGCAGCTAGTCCCGGCGATCTCTGATTCCAACGGCAAGCCGACTATGCTCACACCTCTAGCATTGGTGTTGGGTGTAACGGCTTTGAAGGATGCTATTGAGGACTATCGGAGGCATAGGTCCGATGCTGTTGAGAATTCGAGAGTGACGGTAAGGTTGAATGCTGCTACTGGAGAGTTGGAGAAAGTGCCGTGGTCAAGTTTGGTGGTTGGTAATGTGATCAGGCTCCGGAAGGGTGATGGAGCTCCTGCTGATATAGTCTTGCTATCAAGCTCTGATGGTACTGGCACTGTGTATGTCGAAACCAAGGACCTCGATGGTGAGACTAACCTCAAGGCTAAGGTCTGTCTTGAGGAAACGCAGTTGTTGGATGTTCGGAAGATGAATGCAGCGTCATCAGACCGCGTTGACGATCATCTCTGTGTTCGTATCACCTACGAACAGCCGACTGCGTCGCTCTATTCTTTCACTGGGTCGATCGTCCTCAATAATGCGGCACCCTTGGCACTTTCGGCAGACCAACTGGTTCTTCGTGGGTCGAGTATTAGGACGACGAAGTATGCCTGGGGGGTTGTAGTATACACCGGTCACAACACTAGGTTGATGGTGAACTCTGCGGCCTCCGCCTCAGGAAGGTATAAAATGTCGAAGCTGATGAAGATGTATAATACGCATATTTTGCAGCTGTTCGCACTGCAAATGTTCTTCTGTGTGATATCAGCGGTCTCCTATGCTCTATGGAGTAATCTCTGGCAGGATAACTGGTATTTGGAACGCCCAGAAGAAACTATTGGGTCGAAGATTCGTGAGGTGATTGAAGTCTTTGGTCGGCTCGTACTTCAATTTACTCTCTTCGTCCCCATATCTCTGCTGACCACTCTGGAGATCGTTAAGATCGTGCAGGGTTATATCATTTCTCGAGATAGACAGATGGTTTATGGCGATGTGAAGGCGTCAACCAACTCTGCTGGAACGGCTGACGATCTGGGTTGCGTCACCCATGTGTTTTCGGACAAGACCGGCACGCTTACTGAGAACTGCATGCTCATCAATACGATCGGCATCATGGGTGACTTGAATCGTCAGTATGGTCCGAATCCCTATCCTTTGCGACCTTCTGATACACACGTTAGCCACAGCTTCCCCTCAAGGGGCATCAAGGCTGTGTCGGCTGGTAAAGATGAGGCTAATCTGAGGCGGTCTCTACTCGTTCTGGGGCTCTGTCATTCTGTACTTCGGCAGCAACGGGACGATTCCGAATCGGAGGCTGATACCCGTCAGAGCTTTGTGGGAGCGGGTAAGCTTGATACTGTGTCCTTGACTGACACTACTGGTGGCTCTTCCTCGAGTTGCTGTGGAGGGGCGATAGATGATCCCAAGCCTGGTGATGATAGCGAGGATCTTTATGATGCATCGTCTCCGGATGAGATGGCGCTGGTGGCAGCAGCACGCGAACTCGGCTTCGAGTTTTGGGGGAGACCAAGTGCCCATAAAGTTGTCATGAAGGTTACGGACGATTGGGCTAAGAACCTCATTGGTCGTGACGGTGGTGCTACTGTTGACACTGACTTTATTACTTATGATGTTCTGGAGGTCCTCGAGTTCGACAATGTACGCAAGCGCATGAGTGTCATGGTGCGCAGTCCTACTACTGGCAAGGTCATGCTCCTCGTGAAGGGAGCTGACTCTACTATGTTGGAGGTTGCTACTCCTGAGACTGATTCTAATGGTTTAACTGCTTATCTTTTGGGCCTTGCTACTCAGGGTCTTCGGACTCTGGTTTTGGGCATTCGCGACTTGACTGATTTCCCCCTTGATAGTTGGCGCGAACGCTACGGTAAGGCGCGTGCAACGGGAGATGCGGATGCTCTCGAGGAGCTGATCGCCGATGCTGAGATGGGCATCACTATTGTTGGTGCTACTGGTATTGAAGATAAACTACAGGATCATGTTCCTGAGACTATTTCCGATATCCGTGCTGCTGGTGTGAACATGTGGATCCTCACTGGTGACAAGGTGGAGACCGCCATCAACATTGGACGGTCAAGCAATCTGATAGCGCACGATGGGGAGAACTTTGTGATCCAGGACCCCGACATGGACGAGAAGGACATTCTGGAGAAGCTTCAGGACATCTCTGATAGAGGAGCACCCCCTCGGACGGTGTCACTGACTATTTTGGGCGATTGTCTCACGACGATCCTCAAGGATGATGATCTCCGTGAGCAGTTCTTCTCGGTTGGTTTGACCAAGTGTGGCACAGTTATTGCTTGTCGAGTCTCTCCGGCCCAGAAGGCGGATGTGGTGGCGTGGGCCCAGAAGTACCACAAGAGTGGTACGATGCTTGCTATTGGTGATGGTGCCAACGATGTGGGAATGATCGTCACTGCCGACGTTGGTGTCGGAGTTTCCGGTCGAGAGGGAGCTCAAGCGGTTAGAGCCGCAGATTTTGCAATACCGAGATTCTGTCACTTGCAAAGGCTTCTTTTTGTCCATGGTAGAGAGACTATTAGAAAGAATACTCTCTTTATATACTACACTGTGTTCAAGAATGTCGCCTTTGGCATCCTGGCAATGCTGTTCGGACCTTTCTGCATGTTCTCGGGCTCCATTATATATGATCCTTTCTTCAAGGCGTGGTACAACACATTCTTCACGCTGCTACCGGTCATGGCATATGCTGTATTTGATAGGGATTTGCCCTACAATATTATGGCTAGGTGCTCATTCCTGTACAAGTGGCCTCGGCCATTGTTCTCGAAGCAAGTCCTGGCCAATTGGTTCTGGCATGCGTTTTATGTTGGCGGTGCCTGTTTGATAGTATGTACGTGCTTCTCTAGTGTATTCATAAGGAATCACACTGGTATGGTTGTGACGACACTGCCCGAACTATCGGTACTTATAATGGTGCTCCTCATCCCTTTGATGAATCTCATGATCTATCGTTGGATCAACTCCTTCCACTGGTTCACGACACACTTTTTGTATAATATCTGTACTGTTCTGTTCGTCGTGGCCTTGTTCATTCTCTATCGCTCCTTCCTTTGGGACATCCTCTTTAGTCCCATGGGAGTTGCTATATGCCTGATGGGGTGGGCGACCGCTGTTTTACCACTGGTGTTCTATCATACATATATGTCACTCTTCAAACCCGACAATGCTAGGATTGTTAAGGAGAGGCTTCACATGGGCGTGCATGATCTGGTTATCGGTAAGGGCGGTCCAGAGGTCGGTGGTGCAGCGGAAGTTCTGGTACCGAATCTTACGGCGATTGAGCACACGACAACGTTGGCTTCGAATGAGGTTCCTCAAGAGGGTGTTCCTCGAGTCCTGCGGGATCGTGTTAACTCTACTGGTTACGCCTTCAGTGAGTCTGAGAACCAAGACAGAATTGGTTTGTACTCCCGAAGCAAAGTTCTGCAGCCGCTATCGTCGAAACTCACTATTCTGAGAGAGAAATCTCCATGGTAGAAGAAGAGATGCGAATGGCTTCGGTTCTTCACTTGAAGTTTATATCGGATTTGCGGAGGAGCAAACTGTTCTTGTTGTCCATTTTAGCATACGAGATTACACCTAAGTGTATGATCTTGTCCTTTTGCTCTGTTGTGCGTAATCGATTTAATGCAGCGGTAGTAGTATTTTTTCCGATTGATGACTGCAAGTGTATGCCGGCCTCCTCGAAGAGTGACGTTATTCATAGTTCAAGTCGCAGCGTTTTGCTGACTGAAAAATAGAAATTTAGAGTTAGCCCATTCAGTGTGGACGCCCTTGTAGTGGGTTCAGCACAGACACTGGAAGGCCATTTTGATTGTTGTTGTTGGGTCGTAATGTTATGCTTGTTGTACTACTCGTTGGTAAAGCCAGATCCTCTCGCCACTGGTGCTCAGTATCCTTGCCACATTTGTATCTCATTTTCTCGTATGCCACATTGCTCTGTCGGTATTGCTTGGTGTCGTCGTACGAGATCAAACTGTTGAATAGTTGGCTGAGTTGATTGTGGCGACTATAGCGGTGGTACTGAGACCGATTACTATGATATAACTAGAATTAACTTATTGTTGCGTTGTAAAGTTATTTCAACTCAGTGTTAATGGAAATTTGTCTGTTAAATCGCCATAGTTCCCTGTCGCAAGCATTGGTCACAGGGTTCAGTTGAGCTTCTCATTAGAGCTGCTCTGGCTGATCATTTAGGTTCATTTTTGACGTTGTGTTCGTGTAGTAGATACTCGAATACATGGGAGTTACTTCCCTGGCGCGGCATTCGTACGGTACGAATGCCTGTAGGACTCGTACCATACCGTTCTCGGAAGATGTTTTGGTTTTATACTAATCACCTGAAACTATTTATAACCTATGGGCAATATGCTATGGGCAAGGATATAGGTTGGAAAATGGGGGCATGCGTCCATGTACAACAACAGGGAGAGGTTTTTCTTAATTGTTTCATCGTATCAAGAAAGGCGACCCGTCATCTCGGGAACTTACGGAAATTACGATAACCAGGCCGTGAGAATGATCCGGTTGGTTGACTGTCAATGATACTTGAGCTAACATGGCCCCTTGCACCCTAAGGACAGCTTCTCATACTTGGTATTGTACAGACCCGTTTATGTGGGAGATCTTGACAGAGTGTTTTATTCTATTGGAGTGGTTACGAGCATCTGAGCTCACCGGTACCAGCGTGCTGCCAGGGAGGGCTGCAGAGCCTCTTGTCACCAATTAGTAGAATCTCTGTAGCCCACTCTGTGAACCCATGCCTCGTGTCTGATGTACTCGACTGTCACGTGCTTACGAATGAGGGTGTCGAAGTGAGGTCCGAGCGATATTGAATGACTAAGGATTGCAGCCTTTTTTTCTTGTCGGTCGCCCTCTCGTGCTTTTCAAATGCTTAGATTTCTTACTATTAAGCTCTCTCTATGGACCCGTCATGTACGATATTCTTGGCGCCACTGTGGTGCCATCACATGCGCCAACAAGGCCGTGAGAGAGCCTCCAGTCGTGAGCCGCTCGTGTAGATGCGACTGCCGCGTCCGGGCTCAGGTATATTATACTACCAAGGAAGCTCTTCATGCCTTATGGGAAGAACACTTCGTATTGGTCTGTTCACTTACCCATGAACCTATTCGTTTAATGTGAAGGCAGAAGTGATAACTCCAGTTGCGAGATGGGTGCACGCTTCCGTTTTCTCAAAGATCTTGATATTTGCTCGAACACCTTTCTGCTGGGCTATAGTTGATTGCTCTGGATCCCACATTGCCGAAGATGGTCCCGTATTTGCTCATACCTTATCCGCGTCAGCACTTCATACTCTCAGTGCACTTACTGAGCGGCATCGGTGTCGCTCCCCCATTGTTGAGTTTATAGATGTTTCGAAGCTGGAATGGGGTTGTTTAGAGGGAAATGCGTCATGCCGTACTTGAGGATCTCCTGTGATCCTCCGTACTGTCATCGGGTTGATGACAGTATGAGTATCGTACTCTGTTTTCCAACAGTTAATGAAAGTAAAGTTGCCAGAAGAAATTCCAGTTCGGTCGTCGGCGAGGCTGCACGGTGTGAAACTCAGCCAGTCTGTGTTCGACAATGAGTCCGTGATGAGTGAGTCGGACCTCGCGGCCTTCATTGTCGACAAGGCATGTCTTGAGGTACGCCCAAGAAGCCCCGACGAGGCACCAAGAAGAGAGAGAGCCGGACTAATGTTAAGTACTCCTCCGAGCTTGGTCCACTAGAAGAGGAGCTCGGCCCGGAAGCATCAATAAAAAGCGGCTCCGGTAGAGCAGCAAGGACTCCATCGAAACCCAAGCCCAAAGCTAAAGCCCGACCGCAGGCTGTCCGAGCTGAGGGGCTACCAAGTGCTTGTAAGCCCCCTAGTACTCCACCAGTAGTCGGCCAAGGATCCGCAGTCACGGAGATCGAGCGTACGCGTACTCCCAGAGGGAAGAAAAGAAAGAGTGTAATGAGCTGGGGGTATAGCACGTTCATACTGATCTCCAGGTGAATACGAGGAAGGTACGCAAGGCGATCTCCAAGGACGCGGGGGTACTATCTACCCTCGCGACACAGAGTTGCCGATAGACTTGTGCATCAGGTCAACTCCAATAAGTCGAAATCTCGCGGAGTGCGTGTTGTCGTAGAAGAGGTGAAGATGCGAAAGGCAGTTGTCGACGTGGATTCAAATGGAGTGGTGATAGGCCAAATTTGTCGTGTATGGGAGTCGGCGCAGTGGATCCTTCGGAATCCAACACTGTTAGTATCGTTAGGATGTTGAATCAGCACTCCTGATATGAATTTACTTTCAGAAACCACTTGCTCGCGAAGGAGCTCAGCCAGAGGGCAAAGAAGAGACTTCTTCTCCGTGAGAGCACAGCTTCGATCGACCTTGTGAGGTTAGTTATTTTTAGAACCGAAAAGCGATCGCAGTGGTTACCGAAAAGTCACCGACGGAAGTTCGTCATTCCCAGGAGGCGCTATGCGTGAGAAAGCTCGGCTGCTAACTCAATGTGTCATGGTAGAAACCTTTTAGGAGGAAATCGCGCGGAGGCGGCGGTCCAGGGATCCTGGGCCGGGCGGTCCCTATGGGGCTGATGGCAGCGGGAGTCGTGTCTGGCATGCTCATGGCTTACTTCTATCCTGCCTTCCGAGAACTGCCCAACCGGATGTGAGGCTTTATGCAATATTAACGTGCACGCGTATACAAGCTAATCGAGCATTTTTAGGTATTGATATGTAAGCATGTCGATTGCGAACACTACGATGTATAGTTATGGTCACGTGGGAGATGTATTCTTCCAATACATTTTCTGACAATGAAAGCTGATAGCAGTCAGTCATTTCAATGCATAGTCACCTTTCAACACATGAGCTTTGAGTTAATACAACAGCAGTGTGGTAAAATTTGCGCATGGTCAACCACACGTGTGGGTGACAATATGGAATCTCTGAGGAAAATTTGGAAAATCCTTGTTACTTTCTGTACACTAATCGTATATATTCTCCCAATTCGCATATAAAATCCTATCATTAGTGAGGAAAATTTGGAGCTCAGCTGAGGAAAGCGAACATTTTTTGCAGCACTGGTAGAACAGGACTTGCAGCACTTTATATGGGTTGTAACTAACCAGCACGAAGAACGATACGCAAATTTCGTATGGTTCACGTTAAACGTGAAAACGACGTTGGTGATGATAAGTGGCTCACGAATCGGAGCGAGAGTGATGAGGGTGAACAGTTCCTGTTCACGGAGAATGCTGACCAAGAAGCTGAGCGCATTCGAGCGCAAGGTTCGTGCTGCGCTTGAAGGCGTTCGGTGAGCGGGAGGCAGGTAGTGGTGGTGTGACAGGTGCGGCAGAGGAGGGTGTTGTTGTCGAGTCTGCCGACGAATCTACGGTCGAGGAGTACAACGTTGTCACTTCATCACCAACTTGGCCTAGTGATAAGAAGAAGAGATATAACGAGTCCAAGGTGTCTGAGGAGGAAGGGACTGCCTAATTTTTATGTTTGTTAATAGCACATCTAATAGTGGGGCACTGCATCAAATCTAAGCGAGATGCATAAAAACCAAAGAATATCAGCGCGCGCCATTAATGGAAAGTAAAGGTTGATATCCAGGTGATGACAGTAACGCAAGTGAGAATCTAAACTGCAAATTCCAAAAAAAAACAAGAACTGCAGGTGAAAGCGGAGAAAGGGAAACCCGAAACCCCACCCGAAACCCGACGGGAAACCAGAAACCCGAACTGTTATCCAAGGCCAGGCTGCAATCCAAGGCCAAGTCGAAATGCAGGTGAGAGCGTGCGCAAAACTTCTTTAGAAAAGAGGCCTATTCTTTAGAAATGAGGATTTCCCCTCTAATAGTGCTTCTGCTCTGTTGAATTGCGTTATTTGTGAGGGTGGGACGGTTGATGAGACGTCAGTAGTGATAGCTATGTTGGACGCATGATGGTTCCTGTGCTGTAGAGAAGAAGCAGAGGATGATCTAGGCCTTAATCGAGGAATCCTAGATGCTCTTAGCGATACTATAGGCTCACCAGACTCTTGATAGACACTGCGTGTAATAACCATCCCAGACTCAGCGCGACAAGACTAACTTAGATTCAATTAGTTACAGATATACTCAGAGCGCTGACTAGCGTTACAGCAATAATAGCCGTAATAAGACTCTAATACTCATTCAACACTTCAAAGGTCGCTCCAACGAGCGGTTACAGAGATCCAATCGTTTCAGATACTTATCACTCTACAGATATTCGGGCGTGCGCGATACGACTTGCGCCGATCTTTCCCGATCGTGTCGTCACAGTGGGCGCCAGCGATAATCAGATACGATAATCCTCAAAATTGACTGCAAAGATAAATAGTTAGACGATGATAGCTATCTTTGACGACGATGACGATCTAACATTACTACGAATCAGATAAAAAGAATAATGATCACCATATAGTCGTCTCCTTCTACCCTTCTGATGATCTTCATACACGATATAGTTAGTCTTGATACAGCATAGATCCCTGATACGATGCCGTAGGAAATAAATTGATAATCCCTCCTCCAGATCACTGCCAGCTTCCAAGGCAGCGATGTTGTAACCAATGATATCTTCGACCTTGTGATAGGCTTCCATCCCCTTAATAAGACAATCTATAGTGATGAGATCATTAGATGATACACTTGACCGATAGTTGAGCAAAACCTTAATTAAGTCTATCGATTAACTTAGAGCCCTTAGAATTAGATCCATGGATCCCCGATGCCTAAGCTATAATGTAGCTCCCTCATAAGGAATTGGTGTTGCCGAGTTAGGACGGTAGTAGACCCACAGATATAAACCAGATCAGAGAAGAAGCACTTGCGCGACCTTGCTTGATCATCTTCGATTGAGCCAAGATAAACTCTTCCTTCGTCTTTGTCGGTGGGGGCTACGATATCGACACCTCTGCTCGATACTGAACTTGATAGGAATACCACCACACTTTCATCAGGGGGACTCATAGATAAGATAGCACCAGTAGATAATAGATCCGATTGGAGAAGATGTCGTCTTAGATTGCTGATGCCTATGGGAAGGGGTCTCGTAGCCTTAATAGCAGTAGGGTCGTGTTGATCTTCAGTCTTCTCATCCCCTTGTTGATGGCGATTCCGAGAAGTCCTTGGCTTCGATGATCTCGAAGGATTGGCATCTTCTGGTATTAGGTCGGGGGAATCGGAAGGGGCTAACTGGTCATCTTCTTGAACTTGATGTAGATCTTCTGAGATAGAGTGGCCTTGTGGTTGTCTATCTTGACCTTGACCTCCTTCGGATGGTGATTCATCATTGGGGGTCGTTGTAGTAGGATTTCTCCACACCTTCAGAGCATCAATGATAGCACCCTCAGTGATCAATTCTCTGACTCGTTGTAGATCTTGTGACTCATCCTTCAGAGAGTCGATAGACCCTATAGATCCTCTATGGTCGACGTAGATCCTTTGACCTCGTAGATGTTGATCTCGTATCAGGTCTTGGAAAGCTTTAGCATGTACAACATTCTTCAATGATATTAGTTGAAGTTCATGATCTTCAAATAACCGATCGATACCAGAGTTGCAGTTGTGACCGTCGGTGATGTTGGTAGGACCAGAAGACCGATGATTAGTAGAAGGAAGTGAACTTAAGTTATCGACAGTTGGTGAAGTAGGATCAGATGTGGGATTCGGACTAGACGATGACGAGTTAGATCTTTCCCAGATCTTCCTGTTGGGAAGGATCAGTTCGGGCGCCACGAGTACCGTAGCCGATGAAGTGACCTTGGCAATAGTAAAGGGTCCTTCCCATCTGGATCTCATTTTGTTGTCGATAGCCCATCCAGTGTCATTGTAGAGGTCGATAGAGGCGTTCACCCAATCAGATACTTGTTGTCGATGGTCATCAGCGATTTTGGCATCCCAATCTGTTGTAGCTTCAGTGATCTTCCGCCAGATAAGTCGACCAACCATTGTATGCTCTAGAACAAGCCCGAGAGGATCGTATAGAGATAGAAGATAGGAGCTAGCCTTCCTCTTAGTGATACAATCTTCTTCAGATAGTCGATCTGCTTCGTAAACAGCATGTAGAAGATCAGAGGATCGACGAAATAGATAGCCAAGTAATTTCTTCAGTGCCTCGGGCTGATCTTGATGTTGTTCATCGACCCATGATGTGAAGTTCTTGTTGGGATCGAATAGTTTATGATGTCCCTCGTAGATGTGTGCAGCAAAGCTGTAGCAGTCGATAGTGTGTGATCTAGATAAACCACCGATGTAGACGTCGTCAACGAACCAGACCATCGATATCACGATAGGGACTTGTGGTCCGAATCGGATCCAGTCGACATTGTCGTTAGTGGGGCATAAGAGAACATTCATCAGATCTTCTGTGAGTAGATTCCAACCAGGAACTGTCGATGTAGGCGGTCTCGATGATTCTCTAGCTTTAGCGGTTGAAATGACTTGATAGATCTCATCAGACATGTCGTTGATATCAGTCTCCAACATAGCTGGCGCACAAGTAGATCCAAAGCTGACTCGATTCCACAACAGAGTGAAATTGCCGATGCAAGTATATCCGATAAACGGAATATCGCTTGGATCCGCGAACATTTCACAAAATGCTTTGGATATGTCAGCTGATATCACATACTCCATTGATCTTACCGATAGTAAAGTACCAACTAGATTATGTTGAGTTGATCCTCCTCGATTCGAGAATCGATTTAGGACTCGATAATCTAGTACAATCCTACACGGAGTAGTGCAGTGATCCTTACGAAACACCATGTGGCTCGGCGTATAGTGGATAGGCTTAGGTACGATAGATCCTGCCATAGATGTACCTTCATGTAGAACACGCCAGATAGCTTGACAACGTTCAGATGATGGTGGGATTGTATAGTTGCCGATAGAGTTGTCTTGGACAATACCACAGTACTTCCGGTCGATGAAGGTGTTCAGGGATTGGTGAAATAGATCCTTTTCCTCGGGTGATAGTCGTTGGACTGAAGCCGCTCCTCGGCGCGCCGCGATCCTAAAGTTGTGATCGGGCCTGTCTGATGATAACCATGGTACTGATAGTTGGCAACGTCCTAACGGAGCGCTGAAGTCGGGTATCCATTGTCGTTTGATGACTTCCCATGGCGGGAGATCGTCGGTAGGATCAGATTGTAGTTGTAGGTCAGGATGTAGTGGAACGTCTTCCATATCAGTAGCACCATAAGGATCGTTGGTGATCACGTCCGGGATTGAGTTCATGATACGGGGAACGGCATTGTTGTTGGTAACCTTCCCATTCCAGATACCACCATGAAGGAGATCGAGATGGGTTGTGACGTCGTTAGAGGCCATTATCGTAGAACATGATGAAGTTGGTAGGTCATCATTCACCACCCTGACGACATGAGAGGTTGGTTGATGAGTAATAGATACGCCACCAAAACCTTTGATCTCAGCAGGTTGTCGTTGCTTGGCTGATCTAGAGATAGTCTTATAGATCTGCCTATGGAACGATGAAGTAAGATCTTCGATCCCACTGAAGACCACGGAGCCACTAACCGTGAAGACAATGGCACACTGTAGTTGTTGTAAGGCCGGACATCCAAGGATAACTGGGCTAGATAGTGAGTTGTCTGTGACGGCGAACCTTTCTGTGATCTTGATGTGCCTGGTCTCGATAGGTATAGAGACATGGCCGATGACCTTGATGCTGGTGGTGTTAGCAACCTTCACATTAGAATTTGTGGTGGATGAGAAGATAGGACAGTCACCACCGAAGATTTTCTCCAAGGCTCCGATAGCGATTAAAGAGATATCGGCTCCAGTATCAAACAGAACAGGCCGGGTCTCAGGACCGATCTTGATCACGCCAACAACAACATCGCAACGAGTAGATGAAGTTGAAGATGAGCAGATATTCGAGGTAGATGTTACCTTAGGATCACCAAAGACCTTATCCGAGCTGTTGGCCTTCATAGTCTTGAGTTGATTGGGAACCGACTCCGATACCGTTAGAATCGATGATTCAGGATAGTGATGCGATACAATCATGTTAGTTTGGGCGTCGTTGTAGATGTCGTACTCATTATTTGCATCACTTGAATCATCGTTATTCTCGTTGGGATCTACACCAGAGATCTTGACTTCGGGAGTAGGTGGTGTTGGGAGCTGTTGAAGATTACCATCGGTTGTAGATGAGGTTGTAGCCTGGATACTTGATGGACCGGGAGATTTCCCTTTTCCTTTACCAAGGCCCTTGCCTTTACCTTTACCACCTTTACTCCTCATTGATACCGTAGGGGATGGTAGCGGGTCAGGGCATACATAAGCTAGATGGCCTTCTCGACCGCAGCGATGACACGTGGCAGTCGTAGAGACGTTACATTTGTCGATGGTATGGGTAGGGTTGCCACACCGGATACATCTCTCGTCCTTCTTACCGATATCATTAGTACAATTCCTAGCAGGATGACCATCCTGTAGGCACCTATAACATGTGATGGATTGTTGATCACGAACCACCGCATAGACATAGTAGACATCGTCATCAGTTGATGATCCAGAAGGAATAGGGGATCCATCATGATAGTCATCAGAGTGGTCGTTGTTGATGATGTTGCTCACCGTAGCTTGACGTCGTTGATCAGGATGTCGTCCACCATACAACCGGAGAGTAGCGGGATCAGCTTCCTTCTTAGATAAGCGCCCTTGTCTCCTTCGATCATACTTGATCAGCTGCCGTTTGAAGCGGGGATAGTCTATACGGTGATCATCGACGTCACGATCCATCTTATCTCTAAGACGGTCGTTTAATAATCCATCATACAGACGTCGCTTGATGATGTCATCCAAGATACTGACACCTAGTAGACATAGTTGATTAGCATAACCATCCAATCTTGAGATAAACTGATTGACCGTCTCCTTAGGTTCTTGTTGTAGATGATTGAAGTCGTTCTGGAGTTTCAGTAGGACTTCTTGGTCACTGTAGAACTCATTGATCTTGTTGATTAGTAGATCCCAATGACGATCATAGTCCTTGTGACATAGTGCAGGATCAGTTTCGTCACGTACAAGATCGTCCCAGACGGTGTTGATGGTATTGAGACGGGCAAAGGTATAACGAACAAGATTCCTTTGGCCAACCGTCCGTTTAAAGATCTCTTGGATCCAAGCTGCACCAGAGCGTCGATCATCAGCACCTTGATAGTGGTTCTTGATAGCGAGACCTTTTGCCGTATTGGTAGCGATTTGGAGATCCTTATCAGAGATCTTGTGTCGGCATTTGGTATGTCTACAACCCGGACAGCGGTCATAGGTCTTGTTGCCGAACAGATTAGGGGGTCGATACATTCTGCCAGAAGTGATTCCAGGCAGATGTTTCAACGTAGGGTAGGGTCTTGATAGAGCACGACCCGAAGCAGAAGAAGGGCTAGAAGAAGATGAGCTCGATGATAGGCTTCTCCGACGGCGTTGATGGGAACGTCGAGAACGACGAGAATCATGATCGTCACCAGAAGAATCCGATGAACCAGAAGGAGAGCCAGATGGATCACGTCTTCTTGTAGACCTCATAGCAGCTCTACGAGATGGTTGTTGATGATGTTCACGATAATTCTCGTGATGACTTCTCGAACCATTTTTAGCAGCAGATGAAATAGAAATAACTTCAACAGGTTTAGTAGAATCTACTTGTTCTAGAGGGACTCGATCATCAGCAGTAGTGATATCCTTGACAGTGGTGTCGTAGATAGGAACCGATTGCTGAGGTCGTGAACCATCAACTGTTAGAGTAGAGCTAGCAGCAGCTGACGAGTAGTCTTTGATAACCGTACCACAAGACTGATGCTGTTCACTATGTTGGGAATCTTTGATGGGGTTGGGGTAGTGCTCGATGTTCAGGAAGTTGGGATCACTCATTGACTTCTCGATGATAATGGGGTGGCTTAGGAAGATTGGTCGTAGATAGTCGTCTTGAATGATATTATAGAGTAGCTCTCTATCCTTTGTGATCATGTCCAGATAGAACTCGTTATACAGGATCTTGTCACTAACTCGCAAGTTTGATAGGATGCTCTCTCGTAGACGATGTTGACCATTTAATGATGCCACGTTAGCTTGTAGTGGATGTTCTTGAGCTCTTTCATATCCGACCTGTCTCTGGATAAGGTTTTCTTGACGAACATAGGAACCTTTGATAGTCGTACGATCATCTGTTACTGGAGGCTTAGAGACTCTTCCATGATCTAATTGATGACCTTGTTGCTCATATGGTCTATCATGGATAGGTCTGTCGTTACTCGACATTACCACTTCTTGATGACGATGTAGTCGATCAGTACTCGGCACAATCACTTCACGATGATCTCCAATAGGCTTGACGTTACTCGACTTTACCACTTCTTGATGATGATGTAGACGATCAATACTCGGTAGAGACACTTCACGATAGCCTTCGGTAGATTTAACGTTACTCGATGTTACCACTTCTTGATGACGATGTAGTCGATCATTACTCGGTAGAGTCACTTCACGACGACCTTGCCTCGCCCCAGTGTTAGGATGTACTGGACGAATATGTTCTCTTGTTGTCGGGAACCTTCTTATAGACACCGGTCTGGATAGATGCACATTATCCGGATAGTGCATTGATTGGAGCTGATAACCACTTGACAAAGATGTATCATACGGATAGTTTCCAGTGCCGAACTCCTGATCGGGCTGATGAATGGCGACCCCGGGGTTGTTAGTGTCGTTGTCGTTCATGTAGGGTATGTTCCTTTGTTGGCGTTGATCATGATGTAGATGAACTTGTCTTATACTCTCGATATCTGGTTGGAGGAGATGTTCTGGTACCAATTGATGACATTCTTCGTCTCTAGAACCATTGGAACCTTCGGCTCGTTGATGATGTATCGGCAAGGATAGACGATTCTTCCATAGAATATCGAGTTCAGCCTGGGATGTTGGGCAAGATACTGGAGACCGAGGATCCTTTCGCAAAGGATGTTGATCTTCTTGTTGGGGAGTTTGGTCCGATAGAGCTGACCCTTGATCCTTTCGTAAGGAGTTCAATCTCGTTAGGACAGCCCGGTTTGTAAGAGGGACCGGATAGCAGTTCCCAACATGAGGAGATTGGTCATAATACGGAACCTGATCCCTACGCGAAGGATCCGAATACCCAGCATGAAGAGAATGGTCTCGTATCAAGCCTTGATCATTGCGAAAATGATCACGTGATTCAGGTTGAACAAAATGGTCTTGCACCGATAGAGGATCTTGTAGATTTAGATCCGACATGTGAGCTCGAGGATGATGTTCTTGTACCAGTGTAGAATGATGCTGTAGCTCATTAGGGTCTCCAACTCGATTATGAGGTAGACGTTCATAGTCTTGATTCTTAGAGCCAGACGATTGGGCGGGAATACCAATCCCGGTAAAATGTGAGGGTGGGACGGTTGATGAGACGTCAGTAGTGATAGCTATGTTGGACGCATGATGGTTCCTGTGCTGTAGAGAAGAAGCAGAGGATGATCTAGGCCTTAATCGAGGAATCCTAGATGCTCTTAGCGATACTATAGGCTCACCAGACTCTTGATAGACACTGCGTGTAATAACCATCCCAGACTCAGCGCGACAAGACTAACTTAGATTCAATTAGTTACAGATATACTCAGAGCGCTGACTAGCGTTACAGCAATAATAGCCGTAATAAGACTCTAATACTCATTCAACACTTCAAAGGTCGCTCCAACGAGCGGTTACAGAGATCCAATCGTTTCAGATACTTATCACTCTACAGATATTCGGGCGTGCGCGATACGACTTGCGCCGATCTTTCCCGATCGTGTCGTCACATATTATATTATTGGGCGCGCGCTAATGTCGGTAGATTCGCGCAACATTTAACATTCCGCTGTCGCATATTACCACGATGTCAACTATTCATGATATGCGAGTGATAGCGCAGGAGAAAGATCGCCGGAAGAAATGCGTGGTGAGTCGCTTGGAGAGAAAGCTGCGGACCGGAATGCAGTTGAACTCGGAATTCGTGAGCTCTGTCGATAATCGACGCTAGAAATTCTCGGGAATGTCTCATTTGATCAGAAAGGTTGTGGAAATTTTGTTGTTGTTATTCGCGACGCGGTTTTCACAGGAATCTCGATTGCCTGCTATATACGATCCGAAAGTTGTGGAAAAAAAGACGAAAAAACGAATCGCCACGACTCTGGCAAATCCAGCGGAGCGTAAGGCTTTCCCACTGCATCCTACAAAACTATAAGGATTCGTTCAGCTACGCCTGAAGAACCGACGAGCCCGCGAGACGAGTTGGCGACTTCCAACTCTTGGGCTCCTGAGCCATCCCGGGACTCTATAGGTGGCCTTTCATCTACTTGGAAGTGAGCAGGGAGTTACCGCGTAGAGACGCCCTCAAGAATGTGTCTTTCAGGACTGATTGTCAATCAGCACGGGCCCGTTGGGGCTACAACAAACGCCTTAGGAACATACGCGAAGCTCATGGAGGTATAACATCTGTCAACTCGTCAGAGGAAGTCAAACTTGACCATAGAGTAATATTCAGCTCTAGGAAAGCCTCGTTGATTTCGCGAATCCTAGGTGACCGAACTCATGGATATGTGCGTGGATGTTGTCGAAAAGCAGAAGCGACGTAATAGCACTACTTTCTCTCTGTCAGTCGTGTACTATTGTCTTACTCCAGGATGGGACCAAGTTAGAGGAGCTCTCACCCAACTGGCCAGACGCACTGACTCTTCGGAGGCAGTTCGAATAGTCGACGGTCTTGTGGCGGATCTCGGTGATACTCTGAATGCCGAGTCGGGGATCGTTCGTCTGAGCCGGAAGGTAGTGTACGGGTCTGAACTCGCTGGTTTGAAGTGTCCACCCAGGCTCATGCATACGCGGTTGATCATAGATCTGCTGAGACAAGGTGCGAGGCGCTTCAGAAACAGGTATTTCTGGGATTTAACTTCTCCCTTGCTCTCGTGTTGCATTGTTTCTACTCGTAGTCTTCTATGTAAGTGTAAGCGTTGTGTAGGTGAAAAGCCTCGAGACTGAGCTGACTGTGACCAAGATAGAGCTGGCCAACAGAACTAAGGAATGCGAAATGCTACAGCGACGGGTTAATACGAATGCCCACAGGTAGTGGGCCTGGCTTGTCACAGGAGTCTGCAGATTCACTGGTTATGATGGTATGCAAGGTACGAGCAGTTGTCCAAGAACGTCGATACATTGCAGCGTGAAATCGCTATTGCGACCAAGGAACGGAAAGCAGCACAAGGGAGTAAGACCCAGCTCAACACCGCCCTCCCAGACGATAAAGGCGCCCATGCAAAGCGGGCCCGCTACCTCTCTAATCAGCTGGCCCTCACTGTAAGAGAGGAGCAGGTGTATCGACCCAGGATTGGCCATGTACAGATGCAACAACTGACAGCACTTGAGAGGCAGAAGAAATGGTGGATGGCGAAGAGTGCGGTTCTGGAAGCAGAGACTATGTCACTTATCACCTATCATCAAAAGGCTCCGATGTGAGTTCATAAGCTACCTTCCTTCACGGAGACTTTGTCCAGAGCACTCATGAACGACGATGCCCGGTCGAAGCTCATTCAGCTCGTGTGGAAAGTTATGAACGAGAACCCGCTGGAGAATGGGTGGGCAAAGAGCCTCTGCTGGAGCTGTGGGTTTTACTGCTGTTTATTAGATATAGTTTTGTGAATACGGCGTCCCAGTTGAAGAGTATGCTGGGCGAGGCCTTCGGTAAAAAGGTGACGAAGTTACCTCAGATTCCGCCGTATCGTCAGCGCGGTGCAACAATGGTATGAGAGCTGGGCATTCACACTGTGAATGATTCTTTCTATATGTAGATCACAACATTCACGGCCAACCGCTTGCCTATTCCGAAGGGTTATATGGTTTTGTCCCAAGAACAGACTGATTTCCTAACAATGGTAGGCAGTGGTGAAAAATATGTAATCGCCTTCCTCAGCTGAGCTTGACAGTTTCCTCACTAAATATACACGTCAACATACGCATGAGTGTAAAAATGTAGACCTCAATGAGAATTTCTCAAAATTTCCTCCCAGAATTCTCATATTGTCACCAACATATGTGGTTGACCGCGTGCATACTTTCCCTCCACACCGATGGTAGGAGGGGGAGCAGACAGGAATCGGTACGGATTGATCGGTAGGTTGCATCGACTCGTGGGAGATGTACTCTGCCCTATCTGTGCGATTCGGACTGTGTGTCCACCGAGCAAGGCAGGCAGGAGTGTATCACGGCACTGGGCACTGAATTCTGGGCACAGCAGAGGTTCTGGCCAACTCACTCGTCATGTTGCTACTGTTGGGATCCTTAAGATATGCAAACGCGATCGGCAAAGCCTTCACTCGGTTGAAGGAACTATTCGAGGTCCGGGCGTTGGATCATTTGATTAAAACACTCATTGTAACATGTTCATCTCCTAACGCTGCGACGACGTTATTCATGGTAGAGCATAAGTTGCGAAGCGCTCGACTGTGATCGCGGCTCGCTGTGGGTAGTCGATGCAAGGCAGAATGTCATGTGGACATACGTGCAGAACGCGTATGGGAATGAATTCACGAAGCTGGAGGTGGGGAAATCGGCGAACTCGCGAGGGCACTTTAGATGATGCCCTTAGATGGAATTGCCGAAGCGTGGTACTGACCCCTATGCGGAGAATATTGGTCTGGTGGCGAGCGCTTACCTTTTGAAGCAACCCATAAGTATATACAATGCATATGAGGACAAGCGATTCAATAGCAGGTAGAAAGGAAGGTGAAAGTGCATCGCTCCGCTGTATTATTGTGATGCAGTTTTGATCGCGTCACTAACTATCGCACAAGTTCAGTGTTGTGCATACCGGTCGTGAGTGGAGGCAGAGTTACGTGCGTTGTAAGCTCATCACAAGAGCTATATTAGTGCCAATGTGATCGATACCAAGGTTCAAGTAGTAAACAAACGTCGTGAACCAGTCTTCGACCAAGACGATGAAGCCCTTTTGAAGAACATCGCGGTAGCATTACCGATGTTGGCTAGATGATGACGGGCAGCTCAGGTCCTCGGGCTGGAGATGATCATGGTATTCGAGAAGTCGGCCGTAAGTGGATTCTCGATGAAGCGTGAGCCTTGGAAGTGAATCTGCCCGATTAGCGATTGTTATGGTATGCAGGTCAGAGTTATCTGCTGCAATTCGCTACTGAGATCATGCAGTACTGTGCAGACCCGAATACGTTGCTGGGGCTGTTAACATTGTAATACAGGCTCTTTGTGAACTCAATGGTCGAATATGCAATTACTATTAAATTTTTATAGTCGGATTTATTCAGCTATAATATTTGGTTTGTTTTCGTAGGTATATGAATGAGCTATTCCGAGCAAAGAAGGTCGCTCTTCATATCGTTGTCGGTGACATGACTGCGCAAATTGTGAGGAGGACTCTTCGCGAGCACGACTTGGACGGTATGGCAGGTGCACGGTGGAGCTCAGCCTAAGAATACACATGGGAGTCCGACGCCTACACGTGTTATTCCGGATCAGAAACAGTTGGAGAAAAACTTGAAACCACACCTTGGTGAAATGACAGGAATTGTGGGAGAGACGGTATGAGAAATAATAGATATTTAAAAATATTCCGCTTGGAAGGTGAACTCGAAGAGCCCGCTTACGTTCTCCTTCCCGGCTGGTGATGAGCTCAAGTCAGCCGCAGCGAAACATGTACGGAGCTTAGCTTTAGTCGGCAATGCTGGAGGTGACTTATTGGCCTTCAGGATCCGCTCAGGGGAATCTATGATGAATCGGTCGACCTGTCACCACCTGATAATAATGATCTTTATGCACGTAGGGATAGTCAAAAGAAAAGGTAGATAGTGTGTGTCAGTTCTTGATGTGAGCATCCTGGCTCCTTATGTAGATATGTGCTTCATTCGTATCCTTTGTTCGACAAGAGATCTGTCACGGCAGTTCTCCAATTCGTGTGTGTTGATGGCAAGAAAACTAGCTTTGGAAATGACGAGGAATTCGACCCCTATAATGTTAGCCATACTAAGGTAAGAAAGGACTCCTTGAACAAATGAGCTAATAGATATCCAGTATTAATAATAATAACCAAACTATACTATCGAGTAATGTATAGTAGTGGAGTTACACGACCGTGATATGAAAAACACTAGTGAAAAACATATTTCACGACTACTACAGGAATCCGCGAATATCGCGTTTTCACGGAGTTTTACGCCATTTCACGTAAAACGGGTGAAGCTCCAATATATCAACTAATAATATCGGATATTTTTCGGGAGAATTAATGTCTGATTTGGTTCATACTCAGGTTTTGAAACAGATATGCAACTACATTGTTGTTGTGATGAGAGATTGGTACACTTCAGCTGAGCGTAAGGATCTTCATGAACGCTGGGCTAAGGCTGCGAGGACCAAGAGCCCTGCAGATATAGCGATGGCTGCATGTAGGAGAGTTTTCATTTTGTGGTCAGCAAAGTGATTTTTCCTGTCTTAGTTATTCTCGGGAAGTATAACAACAATGTTGGGGGCGCAAATTCTGAAAAAGCTGTCAACGGTAAGTTCTGGAAAGCAACGACAAGGGACGAAGTTTGGCGGTCTTTTAGGGGGTACTGGAGTGAGGAAAAGCTCACGAGAGGAGGGGCAGAAGGCTCCTTCTGGTAAGGCTCAAGGTGGAGGGTCGCTGTGGGGACTCACAGAAGGGGAGAGGCAGAGCGATTGGAAAAACGCCGAAGTAATAGGGCTTGATTCGTGTCACCACGTGTCACCATGTTGAATCGTCAGCCTGGATGGGAAGTGCGCAATTTGTCTACGATCTACCAAGCGTCGTTTGAGGCGGGTCTTATCAGCGCTCAGGTAATCATCATCCACGAATACTATTACTATCAAGTTTTTCTCTTCGTATTCTCAGGACCTTATGAGCATGATGAGCTCATCATGATGAACCACATATCCAACCGCTTAGTTTTATCAATTAGATGTGTTGATGTGTACCTGACCACATTGGGAGTTGCGTTCGAGCCGCGGGTTAAATGTGTGGGACCTTCACCTTGCAGAAGTTTGGTCTTCATGGTGTATGAATAGCCGACAATGTCAGTCGGTGTGTTGTGATGATGGGGACTGTTCGGCATGGAAGTGAATGCAATAGCAATAGAGATAAAGAGGAGACTAGAGAATAGCTGATCCCCCGGCAGAATTTCCAACATTGATTATGGAAGCATGCAGTGAAGTCCTTCGTTATGAAGGTGATAGAGCGTGTGTTCCATCGGGAGTTGGGTGGATGTAAAGATGTGGTTTTTTGTTAGCATTCTGTCCACTTAGATGTGGTAAGGGTGAACGTAATAACCATACCTTTGTTGTGGTCACTTTTTTGAGATTTTCGCGAATTAGTTCACTTGTTTTTCGACACTTTATCATGGTGCAGAGTGGGATGCTACCGACAGTCATAAACACTTTCTTGCCCTTGCTGGTTCTCTTCATAGCAGTGGCTTACGTGTAATACAGCTAGAAAGGGAACTTGGAATACACTTCTTGTTGGTGGCAGGTATTTCTGTGGCGATTACACCAGTCGTGAGGTTGTTCATCATAATACAGCATTTGTACACCCGTCGGACAGGAAGCTTATCGATAAGCATGAACTACTAGAAGTAATGGATGACAGCATCACCGAACTGAATACGCTTGTGTAGGCGCAGTTATCCGAAGAGGCGGCGACTCGACGAAGAATAGAAGCTCATCCGAAAAGTGTCGTGCTGGGGTTTGGAGCATGCCTGGATGGAGTTACTCGTGGAGTGGATCTACTCAGGGAGGTACTATTGATATGCTATGAAGTCGGCAGTTTACGGTATTGTGGGAAAATATGTGCATGCTCAACTACATGTGTTGGTGACAATATGAAAATTCTGGAGAAACATGGGGAAGTTCTTATTGGTTTCGGTACACTCCTACCCGAATTCGTGTGTAAACTACTACGTGAGGAAACCGCCGACCTCAGCTGAGAATAGCGAACATATATTCCGGCATTTTCTCAGCTGCACATAGAGCCTTCTGAGCACCCCCAGGATCATGATGTCATCACCAGTCGGGAGGATTTGGCCGAAACTTTTCACTATTTTTTTGAGCACGGTGCTGCGGCTGAGCGGTAGTAATTTCTCCTCATAATTCCCTTATGGATTTCGCTCCGCCTCAGCTACGTCTCAAACAGGACACTCTTCGATGAACTGGTCACTGCAGTGCGGAGTTTTGGTGATCATTATGGGACTTTCTGGAGATTCGGTGGCAACGCTCCACATATGGGGTGTAGGATCAAGCTGGAGGTAAAGCACTACCTTTCCACGGCGTAATTTATGCTCATTACATCGCGCTGTGGGAGGGGGGCAACTCGCACTTCACCACCTCGTCGTTGTTCATTCAGGGGCATGATGTTCTGTTGGGCGCACATGTCTCGAAAGAGCTCCGAGATCAGTTCGCCGTGTCCTTGCCGGTAGCAGGAGGTCTGGCATCAGCATCAACGGAAGGTAGACTCTGTATGAAGTGATGATGAACTGTTCGCCTTGCAGGAAGTGGAGACGATATCCACATCATTTTGGAGAGCATTTCTGATGAGACTTGGGGTTCCGACATTTGTCCGAGGGCTAACCGTTTAGGTAGTGATGAAGCCCCTCGTTTCTAGGGTCGTATTTTGCGCAGCTCTTCATAGCGATATTCACTCACCGTATCTGCGCGGTATAGAGGAGATCCAGGAGGAAATAGGCTCGGGTGCATTCAAGCCCGACGCCTTGGTCCTGGGGGCTTTCCAAATGATGGATGGGTGACACCATGAACATCTCGTCGGAGGGAATTCTGGGAGTGTTTAGGTTCCCGTTCCCAACAGAAGGGGAGCGGCTAGAGCGACTTGAGCGGGCTCGACAGCTGATTGATGCACAGGGCCCTTCCGTAAAGGTCCACGTTGAACTCGCTAGTTTCGCCAATTGTGAGTGATGCCCGTCTGCGTAGTAGTAGCAGCTCATCGTGCCTTGCAGCTCAGTTCATGAGAGAGTTGTATGATACCGGTATGCTGACTAGAGTCGATAGTCTTGGGATGAATGAACAGGAGCTAACGACATTCACGGACTGGCTGGGGTAGGGGGAAGGAGAGTGTGTGGGGAAAGATGCATATGGTCAACTACATGTGTTGGTAACAATATGGGAGTTTCTGTACATTTCTACCCCAAGTCGTATGTACACTTGTGTAGTGAGGAAACCTCTGAGCTCAGCTGAGGAAAGCAAGCATAAATCCCAACACTTCCTGCTGCTGATGATGATGATGATGATGATGATGAGTGAATCTTTGCCACAACGCTTGAATATAAAATTTACGTTGTAAATGCGTCTTCCTGCGGTTCTTGCATGCCCTATTGGTTTTCCAGAAAGTCGTCTACGAGCGATGGGAGTCTCATCCGCGCTTCGGAGTCTCGTCCTAAAGTTCGGAACGTTTTGGATGCGTTACGAAGCCTTTGGAAACTGATTGAAGAAGTGAATGAGAAAACGTAGTATTCAGCTCGTTACGGTATGCATTGATGATCTGTCAGGAACTCCACGAGGCAGGTATCTCGTATACACGTTCACACTCTAGCCTTCCAAGCTGTTTTGGTCAAGACCGATGCCTGGAACAGAACGTGAGGACGTAGCTCGATTTTGACTTTGTCGAGTTTGTGGATTTCAGAGCAGAAGCCATGAGTAAAGCGAGTCTCATCGCCTTCAAGCATGTGTGTGGTTTCAACACTGACGATGATATAGACCTGAACAAGGGAAAGGTAATATGGATGGATTAAGTGCAGCATAGGCGACCTACTACGGTGTCATAGGTTCTGTTATATGATACGTTCGTCGATAGTGAAGATGAAGACCTGGCGCAGAGGAGGGATGTGCTTAAGACTAGGCACCATAATGGGGTGCGTAAATGAATTTTCTCTCGTCTGGAAGTGCTTGCTGTAGGTGGTTTGTTGGGATGATACTCGCGATCAAGAATCCATCGATAAGGTTACCATGTGCCTGAGTCCAAACATTGTATGCACAGAACCTGTAGCAACGATTGCAGCGGGCGATAACATCTCAGGAGCTGCTATCGCGGTACAAATTTAACTGAACTCTGTCGCGAGGAAATTTTATCCTTTACATTGTTACTCTTGTATCGATTGAGAGCGGCGGTGGCGTTGAGTTGGAGTGCTCGGGTGGTCATTCTATCATCAACAGTTTTATAAATGTCATATTGGGCGTCTGCGCCTCGCCACGATTCGGTCAGTAGTGGAGGTTGCTATGGATTGATTGCGGGCAGCGGAGAGACTATGTCTTCGACTATAGCAACGCGGGGATGCGCGAAGGACGCGATCTTCCGTTATACGTGAAAAGCCAACTGTTCTGACTACTTGTTGGAGTTCACTTGATTCATTGTTTCTCATTGGGCGTTGTCATCATCGTCATCGCTGTACCGTGTGTAACGCTGTTCGGAATCCAGACCCTTACAGCTCCACGGTTAGAGAACTGTGAGGGTCGACGTCGCACTGTTGGGGAGTAGTTCTACAGTGGCACAGATCCTCGATTAGTTCGGTGTACCACTCGTCCGGTTTAGAGGAAGTCTAGGTCATGTTCTCTCACTCCGAATGAACTTCGCTCCCGGTCGGGTTTCTTTGTGAGAGTTAGAGGTTATCGTCAGAGTATTGATACTGCCAACACGACTCAACTTTCTCATTGGTGTGATTGGGAAGATGAGCTGAAGAATTGCTGTGTCCTAGATGAACTCATTTGAACATATTTGGCGACGACCAGTTACTCACTTGAGCCTTTAGATGAGTGCAGAGTATCATATAAGCTCCGGACCTTCGGAAAGATCTTTTTCCAGTATTATCATTATTATATTCGTATTACTTGTATTATTATTAATAATCTTGCGACTTGAAGTCGCACCATATTTGTCTCGATAGAACAAATAGAGGAGTGTCTCACGAGTTCACTTATAAGAAGTTGGCAGCTGCCGTATTCTTCGTTGACCCCCTTGAAGATGCATTAGTTTCTGTTGAATCGGTACGTATTATTGTTGTCAATGAAAACTATTAACACGCCGCTTGGCGAGGCTCCCAGTAGTGTCCTCAACTTTGCTCAGCCGTAGAAGTCGAGATAGATCGACTAGCAGCAAATGTAGGAGCAGTGGTGAGCTGTAAAGAGAGATTTATCGATTCGACATGCTCGTGTATAGACTACCATTGGACTCGCGGGGCCCTTCCGAGCATGGGACCAGCGAAACGCTTGAAGGAAGCTCTCGATGGAAAAGGTATCGACGGCACTCGCTGGAGCTAGCACTCTGATTCCAGATGCCCGATTGAGACCTTCGTCGCTCACTTCCGCGCGCTGCATTTCTCCGACCCGACCTGGTGGTGTTTCCGTAGACGAACGTACGCAGCGAAAGCTCGAGCTAATCAGAGCTGTAAGAATCCGTGATCTATTTTGATATTTAGAAAGTCCGCGGAGTGGTCGCTTCGGTTGGAGGTCGTTGCTCTGTAGGTATGCCGATATCTCGGTTCAGAACTGCGTCTCGACCTGCCTGGCAATTTCTATCGTGAATGGTCGGGCAAGCCTAGCCAGTCTCTCATCTACCTCTACGTCAGCTATAAGGATCGAATTCAACCGCCTGACGAATTCGTTGAAGATGCAGCCCCTGGCAGGCCGTGAGTCTCAATCGTTTTGGCCTGTTTACTTCCGGCTCGAGTCGTGACTGGTCCTCTCGACTCCTTCGAGTGGTAGTTCGTCAGACATTCTCTCAGATATCGCGGATTCGGGCCTTCAGAAACAGCTGCTCATGCCGCGGAGCAGTACTGGAGAGCTAGGAAGTTCGATACTCTCCTTTATCGCACAGTTGCTAGTCGATCTGCAAAAATTTCCTACCGTCTTCTCCGGTACATTTTACTCTATCTTGGAGCGTCTCAAAATGGGGGCTCTTCATTGTTAGATACGAGGACTCTGCGATCGTCTTTGTTGTCGCTCACGAGGCCCTACATGTAGCCATCCTGGCAAGTGGGTCCTACACAATATCATTGCAAGGTCCACCTGCGCAAGTCGGGTATCAAAATCCCGTACGACTACGAAGAGGCTCTAGCCGACTGGGTTGGGTTGCAAGTTGTGTTGGGCTTTTCCAAATGCAGAAACGAGCTCCGTGAGGTGAGTGTAGGTAGCGCGCGTGGCGCTCATATCTCATGATTGACGTATAGGCTGTCACTCTCGACGCCGATGAGGCTGTGAGATTCGTCGACCGTATGGAAAAGTTTCACTCGCTGATATGCGAAGTTCTACAGGGAGGTAACAGATAGACCTCAGAGAAAGTGGTGGAATCATCCCGTTCATCTTAGAAGCTGCCTCATTAGCCAGGATCCAAGATGCCTGGGACCGAGCCATCGCTGCGGAACACACAATCTCGGCCAAGGTGTGTGCGAGATAGTCTGTGCAGTTTGACTGTGTGATAGGCACCATCCATTTTTATAGATCGTTTCGGTTTCTCTGTCTTCAACAAAGCGTTTTTGCTCCGGTGAGTAACATTGCTTCAACTTTCCTGATGATACGAAGGTGTTCAGGTACAGTGCTTACTGCGCGAAGTACTTCCATTTGAAATCAGTTTTGTGTGAATCTGGTGGTGAATTTAATCCCGCTTTTGGGAATCTGCACCGTTGGCTAGAGAAGATTGCAGACAACATAGAATCGCTGGGCTAGACCAGCTCAAACGATTAGGGTGTCAACTTCCCTTCGGTGTAGAATTCAGCATAGCCCTTCAACTAGCATGATAAATGACTCGATGTAACTGATGACTCTCCAAAAACGTCTCTCCATTGAGTTGTAAAGTCGATGAATTGGTGGGAAATCGATAGTCCAGCAGGAGGAGAATATATCTTGTACTATCGATTGTACTATCTCAAATACTCTCACGAGCTGTGCGTGGGAGTTCAGAGTTTAAACGCTGTACCTTCAATTTTTAGCCCGGCGTCTGATTTCAAAGGCCGCCTACGAGTCTTGCCATATAGCAGCTTGACGCGTCGACTGGCACTGAATTTGATTCAGAGGTTTCATTTTCCGAAAATCAAATTCCGTCGGTCAATCTTGCTTCATGTCGTTGAATTGTCTACGACGAGTTAACTCGAAGCCACGAACGGAAACAGAAATCGTTCACATCTCTCATGCAGCATGAATCATGGTCTACTGAGAGACATATCCCCAGGGCCGACGCCTGCGACCAGACACTTGGTTCATCTCGTTACGGTTCACTCACTGCAACATGGACAGCCATTCCTTCCCGTGTAGCCTGCCTCCTCTAGGAGTTCCAACTTGAAAAGCCGCCCACAGTTACAGCATGCTGTCACTGGGAGATCAGACATCATGTTCTTGTAAAATCTACCATTCATTCGAATAACATGAAAACTGCAAGGCCGCGCCAACAAGAGTAACGTCTCACCTAGTTCCTGCTACTTTGCAGCCTTGATCGATAACTAGTACTTCCTCAGGCCGTAACTCACGCAATATCTCTGTTGGTAAACGTGTGCGCTTGTAGGGCTCCCCCGGAACCAGATTCCGAGCGCTAGTCACCTTCGACATAATCACGGCAACAAGGTATTTTGATCTCTTACAATGGTCCTGAGGAGCTCTGAGTCCACATCGTAGACCAAGTTGGCATCTGTAGCGCCGCGTTCATCGTCGAGAAGGAGGCAGTCGGCGCCTTGTCCGCCTGGACTCAAGCGTATGCTCTGCTAGAAGATCAAGGCTCTACGCGATTCCCGTCCACGAAGTTCCTTCCTATCACGTAGTCCAACTGGATAGCGAGGTTCGCATTCCACAAGCGAAATCAACTCGTCCTGGTCGAGCGATTCATCGGTTGCTTCCTAAATGGAGATCTTCCAATTCGCGCCTATCAAGTTGAATTCAACTCACGAACTCCAACAGAGGTAGAGGTTCCCAGCCTATTGAGGATCGTATCTGCACTAGCGATTGACTCTGCCAAATATTAGAATTCCGACTTACCACTGGATGCAGGCATTCAGTGCAGTGCTCGGGCTCGATAACTTCTGGGGACAAAGAACCTCAACGAATTCGAAGTAGGGACATCGACATGTTCGCACATGATACCCTCGAATGAAATCAAGTACGCGAGCGTCGAGCCACAGCGGCCGCAGACATGCGAAACGTCATCGCTGTCGACCAGTGCGGCTGATCTGGCTTTCAGGGTCTGATTGTGATCATCGCGCTGGTCCCGAGATGTACATTGTTGATTACTGAATATTGCGCCTTCGCACACAATTGCCGTGGGAGTTTCACGTACTCCAAGCGATCGTGGGCGGCTCCTGATAGATTATTCATAGCGTTCGAAATTGGACAGCCTACGGGCTAGCTTGAAACATTGTAGTCGAATCGCACTTTCGGCCAAAACGAATAACCTTGAAAGCCGCGCTCCGTTCGACAGCGACCAATTCTGAATTTCCCTTACACGTTCGAGCGTTTCACGCCAGGTGGAAGCTCGCCGAGTTGACTGGCCATGTTCTCCACAAACACACATGCATGAAGGATCTGCTCCGACGGGAACGATGCGAGAGGCCCTTCTATGTGGGAAACCACATCGGAATAAGCCAAGTAGCTGAGCATCGATACAGTTCATTGCTCCACGTGGCGGCTACTGCGTACACATCAGATTGCAGCCTCAAGCGGATGCTCTCATCTCCCTCTTCTCTCAATGCGGCATTCTTAGCTCTTTTCCATGCGTATCTTAAGATGTCAGAAGTAGCCTTTCGTCGACGTTTTCGATTAACTGTACATGCCAGCTTGCTTGAAGAGCTTTTGCTCAGCCGAGAGGTTGGTCAGCTGACGCAGCATGTCAGAACTTAGGTCAGAGCGACCAGCCTTCTCAAATGCTTCATAGGCTTCTTCGTATCTGCAATGCGTTCCGGACGAAGGCTTAGATAACAAAACGACCTGTCGTTGCTGATCAACCAGTTGCCCCAAGGTAGGTAGATCTCTTCGGCCAGCTCGGGATGTGATCGAGCCAGCTGGAACGCTTCCTCCCACCTGTCGAGCTACGTCAGCTACCGCTTTCATAGGCTTGTCGGGCAACCTGCTCTTCTTCACATGCAGACTAATGAGGTTCTCAAAGTCTTCCGCTTTCGTTAAAGCTTCCTTTGCAAACATGTAATGATCATGTTTTATCTGGGCGGCAGTGACAGCCATAAACATTGATGTTATTCCTCACGAAGCAGGCCGCAGCGTCCAGCATGATCCCCTCGTCTTGGTCATTCTGTCGGTCACAGGAACGGACAATCTCAATGAGGGGCTCGAGAGCCCCTATTCGAGTGTAGAGGGCCGCCGCACGCTCCTTCTGCCCAACTTGGAGGTACCTGTTCTCACCTTGTTCACGCTACTGAGACACTGACAGGACTACATATCGGCCGCAGCACGTAAATCACCATCTTCTTCACTTGACTCAGCTTGCTTTAGCATCAAACCCGTTGTAGTAGAAGGCCCCTAGCGAGCATAGCGTAGCAATATCGCATACTAATTCACCTCACTCGCTTGGAAATTTCTCCAGGACTGTTCCCATCAGGAACCAAGTTGGCGTTGTCTTCCTTGTTCTCAGGGGCTGATAGCTGCTCTTTACTTGGTATATCAATCTGTAGACCAATACGAGCAGCAGCAGCAGCAGCTTAGTCGAAGTAGTGGCGGGTATGATCACCTCGCCCTTCTGGACAGCCTTCTCGTGAATATCAGCCCATTTCTTGGCATCATCCCACCTCCTGAGATCAGTGAACATTTCCGTTGCCAGACCGTATTCCTTCGCTTGACCAAAGAGTACAGCAGCCTGAGGACCAGCAGCATAGGGTCGTTGTAGATTCTACCACATCTACTTCATGGAAGCGGCCTTCATAGGCCAGAACATAGGCCGCCACCAAAGCACGATCTTCCTTGCTCCAATCCCTCTTGGAGAACTCCTCTAAGTACCTACCGTATACATTCCAAGTTGACACCCCCAGCTTGGAGAAAGCACCCACATTGGCATGTATAGGAATCTCGTGTCCGACACCGAGATCCCATTACGAGTCGTCAACTGTAATAGTAGTCTATGAAGCAAATCAATATAGCGTATCTCGAGGAGTCTCGTGAACATGTGATGCTATAGTCGATACCATACATCGCGTATTCTAATGAAAGCTCTGCGGGCCACATCGAAGACCATTTCCTTGAGAGCGTACAAAGCCAGCTGTCGCCAGTCACCGTCGGTCACACCGAGACAGGCAACTTCGTATGCCGCGGAAAAGTTACCAACGGATAAATACCTACCAAGTACGTGCGAACAGAATCTAGTGTTCGGGTTGCCTGTAAAGCGAGGGCCCCTGAGGAATCTCGACAGTTTCCATCGACGAGGATTTTAGACAGAAAATTTTACTGCCTTTGAAACCGACAACCTGAGATAGCAGCTGTGGTGGTCGTCGAAGAAGGCTTAGGAAAGAGTACGAATCCATGCAGCTTCTGAGGGTGAGGAGGAAAGCTGCCAGTCTTGATGCAGAGCGTGTCGTTTCCGGAGTATGCGACCATATCGGGGAACTCCTGGTTCCATGCTACCGAGCTGGCTCCTGCTTCCTGGTATCTACTCCTCTCCAATCACATGAATCATCGCTGATGAGTTTACAACAGCTTCTGTGTTTCCAAGTCGTAGACCATCAACGTAGCGCTCTCATTAACGATAGCGAGCTTTTTCCGATCGCCTATCGTTGAGATGGAGTTCAGTGGACCGACTTGTTTTCCTCACATGAGAAGTCGAGGCACCTCACGGGACTCGTCTGCTTTATAACCGTTATCGGAAAGGCGCTGTTGATGAAGATCTTTACAATCTAACACGGCATCACATGATGGAGGATGATGCCTTGCTCGAATGACTGTACATGACCGTTCTTGAGTCCTGCCAGGATGCCCTCACTCCCGGGTACTCCTCCGAAGACCTTGATGTATCGTATGAGACTATCTAGATGCCATTCGCGTTCCATAACACCAGCACTCGAATATCTGACGTCTACGATCTACAACACAGCGAGCTGAGGTCTTCGCCTCACAGTTGTAGTTGTTTCTCGTGACAAAGGATGAAATGCTGGGCAGTGGCCACCAGCAACGAGCAGTCCAAGGTGATACGGACCTTGTCCACTGGCTGGTATCGCATATCAAGCGGGTCGTCACCGGGTACTTCATATACTAATACCTACTAGAATACAGCCTATCAGGAGCTCTGTCGTGACCTTTCTTTGAGTCAAACTCAGCGAGCATTACTTAGTGGTACACACTCCACTGCCTTAGTGAATACTGTGCTTTCTTTTACTCTAGAGAAATCTCAACAGATTGATCGGTCAATAGCAAACGGCACCTTTTGAGGGAGTTGAACAACTAGTCGATTACGGTAAACGGCTATCTTCTTCACATGATCTTTACACCGAATACGAACCTGTGACGACGATAAGAGATGGCGAGCAGTGTTATTTCCGGGGAAACTAGGTTGGACAACTATGATAGTAAAAATCTCACTTTCTCATCAGACACTAAGTGTTGCAAGACAACGTCGGTCATTTTATCTCGGTAAGCGTAACGATCTTTGTGAAGTCCATGGACCTAGGACATGTGAATCTACTTCTAGTGACGAAAAATTTGACGCACCGTGGAGAAGATCAATTGATAAGCAGCCACATCGCCATTTTCTGTGCCGATCGTGATGCTCGGTGGACCCATAGGTCTGACCTGACACCGTGTCATAGTCTTCGGGGTACTATTTTTCAAGGGAAGATCACGGCTAAGCTCCAGACAGGGCTGTCCATTTGACCGATGTCTTCGAGTAAAATCCCGTCTCTGGTCCATAGTTGGACGCGCCCATCAAAGCCGCCCAGAGCGAAGTATCTGTACGATTCACCTACGACTAACTCGAGTATGGCGAATGGCGCTACTCTCCAGATGAGAAGAAGGAGATCGAGCAAGGGTCGTAGCCTAGCTTATGCTGTGGTCCAGCTTCTTGACCAGAAAGCTTATAAAAGGATAACGTCTGGTCCCAGCAGCCGACCGTGAGGATCTGTTATGCTGCAGTGTCACCATAATAGCAAGTCGCATTTACGTACTTCGGTGGATTCAGATCTCGAGGGACTGGGGTTCCACGCTAAGCACCATACGGGTTCAGATCTAATTATTTTGCTCTTCTCCGCGCAAAACCTGTCTATGGACGATATTGCATGGGAGCCTAGTTGGAGGTATTGACTTGTCGCGAATGGATACGTGCCCATTGAACAAGCCGAGCGCCAAATGCAGTCCATCCGTTGTCCACGATATGCAGAGAACTCTAGCAGGCACCTAGCAGGAGTGAATTCAGTACGGAATGGGAGTCTGGTCAACCTTATGTTTCTGAACACTCTTTTGTTCAGGACTCCAAAGTCCTATATCATTGTGAGTTCCGCTCGCTAGCTGCTGTGTCACGGGGTTGTAGGCCAGGAATTGGATCGAGTCGCTATGGCTATATCTGCCAAACCGAATCAAGCGATGGCATCAAGTCAAATATACTCATCGATGATTTGAGTCAATCTAAGCACCTTCGGCAGGAGGCAGCATCCGTCCTCAACTATATAAGAATCGGCGAACCACTTGAGTGCTACTTCAGAATTCCCTCGCCTTTGCTAGTCCAGATGATGACTTGATGGTCGGCTCCACCAGATGCGAACCTCCTGATAATCATTAGGATGAGTACCGCACACGCACGAATGCTCCCCGGCCCTACTTCCCTTGTTTCGAGTAAGTTACGCAGTACACACTATCTCGATGGCCTTTCAAACTGTGGACCAGATCGCCATCGTTGGCGTCGTAGAGAAGCACTCGGTTGCCCACAGCTACCACCAACTGAAAGAGCTCCAGCGATCGCTCAGCTCGGATGGTCAATGCTCTGTTCTATTACCTGCTGTCCATCAGGCCTGTATGCTATAGACCAGACAACATTGCCGTATTTCTCTCTGTTGGGGATCTGATCCCTCCAGATGGCGTGGGGTCTCATTGCTGATGAGAATGTGGCAGCTGGAGAGATTCCGAGGTCTACCAGTCGTCAAGATGTTCAGGAACTGTAGACTGTGACAGTCCGTTCGACTTGAACGAACGTTAATCCACGAGTTATCCCTGGCTTTCGCCCGCGACCTCCGAGGCGATCAGTCTACCCTTGGATTTCCACTCGACACACGAAGTGTATCAATCACTTGAAAGAACGTTCCCTTGAGAAGCTGACTCGATCTATTCGGAACCACAAAACCTCACTGGAGGCCTGAGTGGTAAAAGTGGTCGCTCTAGTCATAGGGTGATTAACGTGGGGGATAACTCGGAGCCCGCGACAGTGAAAACTGAACTTAGAGCAGATATAGATTAGATAACAGTAGTTAGATCAGACCATCCTTGCATCACACAGACGATGTAATTTAGGAAAATGGGAAAACCTACTCGCACTGCAGAGAACATATTCTCACAAAGCAGCGAAAGTGCCACGACTGTGAACGAGCCATCCGCACGCAGTCCATGCTTCGCCAGTAAGCGGTGATAGAACGAGGCTTTTCGAACACAGCATTGGAATACTCGGATATACGAAAACTTGCATCCCAATTTGCTATTTCGATGCGGAGGCGGAATAACCCCGAAATCATCATGCGAGTAATCTCTCCCGTAAACCATTCGATTCACTGCGGCCTACAAACAGAAGACACACACATCAACGCGAAATTCATTCGATGAACCAAATCCTACTATTGGTCAGCGCAACACGAAGGCTCTAGCGTATTCAAAAAAAGAGCCATCCTAGCACCCAGAGAGCAAACGAAGTCCAAGCGAAGTCTTATATGGTAACATAGCTTCATCTGAGGTAGCTAGTAGGCCCACTCAGGGGATATATCAAGTAGATTGTCGGGATTCGTTCGCTTCAAAATGATACTGGTACTAAATACCGTCGAGTCAACAGTAAGAAACATGAGCTCAAGCTAAGATGGAAAATTATGACGACAATACTATAGCTCTATCTGTGACTTTGCTGACCTCTCTTAATACTATGAATGTTCTCAAAGAACAATTCATGACTAACATGGAGACAATGAGTCTCTAGTTTTCCGGAAAAAAAGGACTGAATACCCGACCATTTCTGCGACAAGTTCCATGGAAAGCGTTCGGCGAGAAGCCTAGGCTGAAGAGTGACTACCGTGATCGAAATGATACCTACGCTGAAAGTATGCCTGAATCTCCTCGAAGGTCCTCCCTTTAGTTTCAGGCACCAAGAATACCACGAACAAGGCCAACATGAGAGATACTCCAGCGAAGAACCAGAATGTTCCATAGAAAGTAAGAGTCCTAGTCATCGATTCCATGAGTTCAGTGACTAGGAAGCTACAAAGCCAGTTGATCACGGTGGCGATTGAAGAAGCTACTCCTCTGACTTCATCAGGGAAGAGCTCCGCGAGAATTAACCACGGTATACCGCCGACACCAAGAGAGAATGTCGCGATGTAGCCGAACGCCGCAACGATTGCCAACCATCCAACGTTTTGATTGCCAACTGAGTCTCTCAAGTAGAAAAATAGACCTTCCAGAATTGCACTGATACACATACCCGAGGCAGCCGAAATAAGGAGTAATCGTCGACCCGCTTTTTCGATAATGAGAGCACCAATTAGAGTCACACCGACCTGCACAGCCATGACCGACAACGATACCACATCTCTGTTGTCGATTCCTGCAGCTTGGAAAATAGAAGTCTGATAGAAAATGATACCATTCACACCTGCGAACTGCTGCAAGACTTGTAGCATGACTCCAATGAAGAGTTGCATTTTACACTCACTAAGAGCCCTCAAGTTTTGCTTAATGGAGTCCTTTCCTTGAACATATCTCTTCGTGTGTAGGGCGTCCAAGGCGGCCAGTTCAGCCTTAACGTGTGGGTCATTCTCGTCAGCTCCACGCAGCTTTATAAGCACTGCCTTCGCTTCTGTGTCTCTGCACTTTGAAGCGAGCCACCGTGGAGATTCTGGTGCAAAGAACATTGCTATGCCTAGAAGTGCGGAGGGGATGATGTATATGAAACTCAGCTGACGCCATTCGCAGAAGGTAGTCGCAGTGGCGTTGGGATCGACTGATCCTGCTTTAGTTCGTAGTGCCAATCCCAGGACATACGCCAGGAGAATACCAACGGTAATGGCCACTTGATTGCAGGCTCCCAGCAATCCACGATACTTAGTAGGAGAGACTTCCCCAATGTAAGTAGGCACGGTGAAGGAGCTCATGCCGAGCGCGATACCCATAATGACACGGGCGACAATCAGTTGCCAAGCCGTTGTGGCCAGAGCAACCCAAAGCCAAGGCAACGCGAAGAGAGGAGACACTCCAATGAGACTCCACCTGCGACCGATCTTCTCATTCAGAGGCCCTCCACCCAGTGCCCCCACCATGGCACCGATGTTGAGCATTGAACCAAACAGAGAGGCTTCGGTGGCGGTGCGGAATACGAAAAATGACGATCCTTCGCCAATTTCGATAAGTGTTCCATCCGGGGTAGTAACATCATTCTTCATAGTGTCAATGGCGGGACCGGAGAACCCCAAACATAGTCCGAAGAGAAGTGACCCAAGAAGAGATGCCGCCACAGAGAGAACAGCACAGGTATGATTCATTGAGGGAAGTAGTAAAAATAAGCTATCGGAAAGTTATACAGATTGGAGCCATGCAAGAGTCTTGTGCGCGTTCCTTGATTCGTGAGTACAAACTCGCTCACCCAGGTATTCTTCTCGCTCGCCCCAAAACTATCATCACCGCGATACGATGATCGAAGCTGTAACAACAACATGAATCTTGGCGAGCTCATCAAGGCAGCCTCGCATGCACGTTACCGACGCTGGGAGAAGGCTCCCGCGGTCTACGTCTCTAAGTCTACATGGAGATATGTGTTTCAATTCTGAGGCTCGGAGCTTCATCTGACCGTCAGAGTCTGTGGGGGTTATGAAGCAGATTGGACTAGCCTGAGCGGCTTGACATTCATTCTAGCTACGACTAAGCTACCAACAATATCATTGATGGTTGATTCGTTACAACTAAATCGTTAGTGATTTCACCAGTGGTACGTATACTACGCGTTGGGTGCTTCAGCAGAGGCCAACCACTGGCATGATCGCCATCAATACAGGAGCCGATGAGCTCAGTACCACTAGAGACCTTCAAGTACATATCACTGGATGAATCAAACTCAACGCGCATCGACCAAATATAAGTCATGCTCAACTATCAGTACTCAAGGTGGTCGATTCGTAATCGCTATCAGAGACCTCACCATCAGCGAGGCTAGCCATTTCCGATCGTTTCCTCTTCGGCGCAGCTTGAGGACCCCGAGGCCGACCGATTCTTAATTCACCAAGTAGATAAGACTTGTATCTCAGCAAAGCACTTTGGCGTTTGCCGGAATACTTCGGCAGAATAACTCCAAACCATCGATAACAACAGCTAACTGGATCGCGCCGACTCAACAAATCAGTTGTCGTGACTATGTGGTGCCAGGCCAAGGTGGTGTACGACCCGTACTTGGCCACGCCGAGTTGGAGTGCTATATCTTCCTCGAGCTTCCAAGGCGCCATTTGGTCTTGGTGCCACTTCTTGATAGGAGCCGACGTACGACCAGTGCCCATCAACTCTCTTCTAAGTTTACCCTGTACGGTTGAAGGGGAGGGGACAAGACTTGTGAGGTACACCTAGCGAAAAATAACATATAATTTTGTTATTGACATCAAACCACGGCATATTGGTAAGCCAAGGTAAGCAGTACTTTGAAAATTTCCTCCGCTGACCGAGCATGATGACCAAAGGTGTACAGGGCTACTGCGAGCAAACGCTCCGCCACTGGAGTCCACTCGAACTCCCACTCCATGTTCGCCTCGCATAAGTTCAACTCTAGAGACGGAGCGATGAACCCCGGAACCAGAAAGTCTTTGAGGAAAGCTTTGTAACTGATATGATTCTCAACCCTCCACGTATGCATAGGCGAACAGTTGTGTTTAGAAGCTCTGTACCTTCGAAGAGTGCCTGCACCAAGAGCAGTGAGCAATGGTGTCGAGAGAATTAATAAAGGTTGGCTCCTAGTAATGGTATTCTTCCTCCCTTCGGCTGTCTTCACATAACAGCTCAACTCGCTGTAACTGACCAACAGCGTGGAGACCACAACTAGTCTGACGTTGTTGTCCTTACAGTGCATGCAAGTCTTGATATGTACCTTCTTCAGACCTAGGAGGCACTCGAGCTTCAAACAAGGCGTTTATAAGGAGCTGAAGCATCTCGTGCATTTGCTGAGCTATCCTTGCAGCTACTGGATTAGGGTCTAGCGATGTCGCTAACGACATGACCATAACTTGAGGGAACACTCACGAGGATAACATCGAGGGACTCTCAAGGTCACTCACATGAGGCGCCGAAAAGGACTCCTCACAATGCACTCATCCATCCCGCATAACAATGACACTCAGATAACGCAAGCTCGACACTTTTGAGATATGATTATCCATCGTTATACAAACATCCATATCAAAATCAGCTATGATTGTTCCAAAGTTGAGCGAAGCAGACTTCCGATGAAAAAGAGAACTATTATAAAATATATTGCGATCTGCCAACTCTACCAACCGAAACGATCACAAGAGGCCCATTGAGGGAACACTCTTCCTTAACTCCATAGTAGTAGGAGTAGTCTCTCCTTGCGCATGCTCCTCGAGATTACGCATAAACTGATAGAACGCGAACTCGCTAGCCTCCAGACCATACTTGTAGACGAACGTGTTCGCTATCCAGGTCGCACAGACAGCCAGAATGTAGGCCTCGGGAACCCTTTCCAAGATCTTGTCAATACCGCAGTGGACCAACAACAGACGAGGGATGGCTCGGCGAAGAACAGCACGAACCAACCATTCGTTCTCTGGATTCTTCTCGCTGAAGACCTTCATGGTATACTCCTTCAGAGTGTTGATCTTCTTAGAGAGTAGTTGAGTGGCGTCTATCTTCAGAACATATCCGTTGCCATCGGCAGCCAAAGTCTCGTGATTAGCCTTCCATATAGCGCTGAACTCCATCGAAGCGTTATGCTTAATAACGGCCAAGATCTCGTTAACATATTGCTGATAGAACTCAGGTGGTGGGAGAGTAACGTCGGGGATAGTAAGCAACTGATCGTGCTCCTTAGGATCCATACACAGCGCGGCGAAAACTTCCATACTGCTTGAGGTTACTCCGCCCTTGTTAGTCGAGGCGTCCTTGAATAGATGAACTCCGGCCTTCTCTAGCACCCGACGAGCATCCTCTGTGAAAAACAGGTTGGCACCCTCGACAATGTACTTGAACTTGGGCTCCTTCTGAGAGTTGAACATAGTGTGAATATTACCCATATTCACAGTTGCGGGGCGTCCACCACACGGAACGAAGAGATCTCCAGAGCAATACTCGAGTTGAGGGAAGACATTGCGGAGCTCCACACCTGTCTTGAAGTGCTCTCCATTGGGCAAGTCGATGTTCTTATCGGAGATATTATATAAGAACGCATTCTTGTCATCAGTCAGCTTGTCCTTGTTGAAGTTGCTGATCGGTATGCGAAGGCGAGCTAAGCGCACCAGCTCCTCGCGGTTCAGGCCGTTGGGATCATAAGCAACCCCGGAACCATCCACCACAGCGACGGTCTTGTCCTTAGCAATGAGAATCTCGTTAGACCCCAAATCCCCATCTGGTCCTCCAGTTTGGACCTTGGTGATCTTGGTCTCGTCCACCCCGAGCAGCTGTAGTAGGTCGATAACATACTGATGGACGCTGTTGGTGGTCATACCGTAACGGTCATGAGGGACTCCACCGAGTTTAGTCGACTTGCCTGTGGTGAGAGCCTTCCAATAAAGGTAGCCTCTGGCCTTGGCCCTATATGCACCCATGTCCATGAATCCAGCAGTATTCTCATCCGGACCAAAGAACAAGATCTCAGGAGTGGGCAGATGCGAGAAGATACCAGTCTGCTGAGGCATCATGCAATCCAGCAGAGCATCGATGTACTTATTGAAGGAGTCACGACCGTTAGTCTCGAGATTCTGGTCGCCCAGATCGAGGAGGATCGTACCCTTGGACCCACCCTCCGGAATGTCCTTGTTCTTGAGGTGCTGAGTGAAAGCCAAGTTGTAGTTCTCTTCCAGCAGCGACGAGGCGTTCCTGCTATACACCTGCCTGCTAGCCGAACGTATCATACGTATTCCACCACGAGCAATGTCGCGGAATCTGATATGGAACCCATAGAATCCACGGCCAGTAACCATATAGATACCATAGGGGATCACCGGAAATAGAGACCGCGGCCGATCTTCCAGCAGGCTACCGTCGAACCTCATAGCAATTGCTGCAGCCGTTCCGGACTTGAAAAAATTCGTCATACGCAGATGGGCAGTGAGCTTCAGTGCGGTCTTGAGGATCTTAGCCTCCAGCCTATGCGCCACTTCGTCATCGATCCTATCAGCAAGAGCAGCGTTATAGAAGGGCTCGCATTCACCCTTTGCCACCTTCTTGAAATCGTCGTACATGAGACACGCCAGCTCATAATGGGACACCAGTGTGTCATAGATCCTCTCGAACGTAATAGCGTTGGACATGGTTTGCAGGAAAAGATCGTCGAGTTTGCGCTTCATCTCAGCATTGGCCTTAGTAAACTCCGCTAACGTCAAGTACTCGGCCGTCTCCTTAGGGAAAAAGGTAAAAACGAACTTCACCGCAGTGATGAAGAACACCGCTTGCGCTGGTGTTATTTGCTTCTTCAGAACGAGGTCCCAGACGAGAGCTGAACGCTTGGGACTATGTTTGAAGTGACTAACATAACGGAGGGTCTTGACCAGATCTTGGAGCTTCTCAGGGCTGTACTCAGCTCCCAAGTAGCAATGATAAGCTACCACACCATTAGCAAATGACTCGATGTACATACGCTGTGGGACCACTCCGTGAGCGCGCAAACACTCGCTGAACTCGGCGAAAAAAACCTTGCCCTTTCTTTCAACGTCGTACAAGGCGAACTGTAACACGTGACTACCCTTCTGGCGGACCATATGAGCAGGAGCTTCGATGAGCTTAACCACAGCGTTTCTGGTCTTCATGATTTCGTGCACCAAGTTTTGGTACAACTTTTGGGAGTCCAGCGATTTGCGCTGTAGGAAGAAAGGCGATGCCACGAGTTGTAGATCTTCTTCTTCAGCAACGTCACCAACACCAACGTGAGTTTCAAACCTAGTCTTATCCACCATGAACACTCCCAAGGGTGCGTTCCCATCAACAACGGGAGGCTTCTCGGACTTGATGAAAATGACGGAAAAAGATTCACCACTGCCGCAGTTTGCGAGGTAGTCCGCCAATAACCTCTCAGTGGGGGTGACCTGGTTGTCATCCATTGACGTTAGGAAGAAGCCAGACTGCTCATCCTCGATCTCGAAGTGGATGCTTGAAGACCCTGTAGACTGCGCTACCTTCTTAGCAGCCATCAGACAATGTATATGTCTCGCGATCTGAGCGCTGGTACAATGCATGAAGTACTTCGGATGGAGCCCGAGGTCCGTGAAATAATACTGGATCTCAAACCACAGGCGAGCAGGAGCAAAAACACCTTCCTTAGATATGATAGAGAACACTTGTGTCATCTTCGTCTCGACCTCCTCAGTAGTAATACTCATGCCGGCGCCCTCAGAGACATCAGCGTTTCTGAGCATCTGGGCTTTCTCAGGAGGTAGATAGCACGCACCACCAGGGCATTTGAGGTCAGCCTCAGCAAGCATGGAGCGGATCTCAGCCGCATTATTATTCATAACCGCATCGTGTAGTGCCAACATGCCCATTCTGTCCGGGGTCAAGGCGGCCCCCTCCTCCAGGAGGAACCTCACAGCTTCCACATGGCCTCCAGCAGCAGCCAAATGCAGTGGCGTACGTTTGTCATAGTCGCAACTGTTGACCGTCAAACCCGAGTTCTGGGCTAAGACACGACGCATCTCGTCCACATCGCCATCATGTGCTGCAGCGAGGAGATATCCCACAGCACCGGGGTTTGCAGTATACACGCTGTCATCAGCCTTGGACTCGCTTCTCAGTTTAACCTCGAACATTTATCAGTGGGTAAAAAGGTTGCCAACTGTAAGGACCATGGGACCACCGAAATTTAACTCGAAAACTGCTTCCTGTTAGGTGGGAAAAATCGTGATCTATTTCAAATAACAGTTATCGATGAAAATGACAGCTAGTGCAGCAGTCATAAAAATGTCGCCAACCACCGCCCCATACCGGAACATGCCCTTATCCTCGAAAGAGTAAGCGCGACCAAACTAGCATAGGGACGAACATAAATGTCCTCCCAGCCTGAATGGTGCACACAGGAAATGACTGCCAGGACAGTTATTTCCAAAAAATGGTTTAATACTATGAGAACGAGGAACAACTTTAAAGCATGCCCACTGAGGGGCAGTCGTATGCAGTAGTACAAATGATGTTTACAACAGGAATACATCGAGGCGTGACAAGGGATTATATTCCTACCCATGCAGTAGCCTATAATACCCACAACTATCCTCTCTGAAAAGCGTTAATCATGTATGTTCCCAGACTTGTACGGGAGACAACAGATACGACATCGGGCAAGGCTGGCACTACACCGTCAAAGCTTAGTGTGACAAGCCAGCGAGGGGTAGACAGTAAGGATAGAACCTCATCACACATTACAACATACCGAGAGAAACATCATCTTATTTGTACTATCATTTACATTCCGCCTTTGAAGCCACTGCGGAAGCCTTTGCTAGGAGGACCACCTTTGCCTTTCATTCCTCCCACAGGCATCTAAGGAAACATTTTCAGCATATGGATTTCAAGAATACGCTCAAATTCGCATTTGCGATGTATATTATCTCATTTCAAGGGCTACTACTAGTACTACTCCTGCTACCACTACTACCACTACTAGCGACCTAATGGGTATGGGCTTCGCCGTCCACCCGACCAAATCCTACCGCATTCGCTCCACTTCCTACAGGGCCCTTTCCTCCTCCTTTTCCTTTCCCTTTTCCATAGCCTCCATATCCCTTCCCTTTGCCGTAACGACCCTTTCCTTTTCCTCCATTATCATTCATACCATTGCTCGCGAAAGCTAGACGTTCGAGGGCCTCGGGCACGGGTTGAGACGCCTCCCTCAAAATACCAATCAGAGGCTTGGCAAGTTTCGCCTTGTCGGCGGTGAAAAAACTATACGCAGTACCATGCGCACCAGCTCGGCCAGTACCTAGCATCCGCACCATAGAACAATAACACATAGCAATACTCCTCTACTCACGGCCAATTCGATGAACATAGTCCTCTATCGTGCCGGGAAAATCATAGTTTATCACATACTTAACGTCCTTGACATCAAGGCCACGACTAGCCACATCGGTGGCGATCATAATAGGCATTCTACCGCTCTTGAACTCCGCGAGTACCCAATCGCGTTCAGACTGCTTCTTATCACCATGAATTGACAGGGCAGGCCAGCCGTCACGACGGAGCACTCTAGTAATATCATCAGCGCATCGCTTCGTGTCAGTGAAAATGAGGGCCTTGGCGTCGAAAACTCCCCCACTGGCAGAGGCAACTGCTCGCATTAGTGCTTGTAAACGTTCTGATTTGACGTTCTCCTCAACGACCTCAACGAACTGTTGAATACTGAGAGAGGAAGATAGCCAACGTGAACTACTTAACACCTACTTGTGGCAAGCATGTCCAGATTGTCCCACAGTGACATGCACTGGTTCCTCATTGCACAAATCCCTGGCAAGCTGCTGCACATCTTTAGGCCAAGTCGCCGACCACATCAGAGTTTGTCTGTCCGGTCTTATTTGGGAAACTATTTTACGAACCTGATACGCTCAGAATGTGATGATATACACTCGAGAGCAGTTGTGAAATGAATGTCCGCTTTTCTCAGCGGACCTCGAAAGCTTCCTCACTAAATATACAAATTCATGTACGAGCTATAGGAAAAGCGTACAAAAACCGATAAAAACTTTCCAAAATTTTCTCACAATTTCCATATTGTTACCAACACATGTAGTTCACCATGTGCATATTTTCCCACACTGCTCGAAAGAAACCAACTACAAATTCTCACCTGCGGCTCGAAGCCCATGTCCAGCATACGATCAGCTTCGTCGAGCACTAGGTAAGTAACTCTTCTCAAATTCGTAACTTCCGACTCCAAGAAATCGATCAACCGCCCTGGAGTGGCAATACATATCTCAACCCCGTTCTGGAGCATTCTAGCCTGGGGCCCTCTAGGCACACCACCGTAACAGCATGTATTGGAAATTCGTGAACTTCTACCGAAGCGGTCACACTCTTCCTTAATCTGCAACGCGAGCTCTCTCGTCGGGGCCAAGACCAACACAATCGGGCCGTCCCCTTTTTGCAAGTACGGCTGTGCATTTATATGCACCACAGCTGGCAATAGAAAGGCTAGTGTTTTGCCACTCCCAGTTTCAGCAATTCCCACCATATCTCGACCAGATAGTGCGACTGGCCAGCCCTGCACTTGAATAGGAGTAGGACTGACGAAACCAGCCTTCTGGATCTCCACCATTATATAGTCTGGTAGGCATGCCTCTTCGAACTGCGTGATGGGATTTGGAACATCAACCCCATGTATGATTTCGATGTCCAGTCTCCTTCTTACAAGCTCGACCTCTTCAGGAGTCATAGCCGCAACCCGTGGATGCTCAACATAGAAGTGCTTCTGAAACTCGGTCAAAGTGTATTTTTCCCACTGCACCGCCTTGAGGTTAGCGCCCAACTGATCTTCATAATAGCCATATCCAAATGTATCATATCCGCCATACGCCGGATAACCACCTCCGTTATACCCACCATAACTGTATCGGTTCCCAGAGTAGTCCCTAGAACAAAATTAGCATATCCCTTACTCCTAACTTGAAGTTACTTACATCGCGTTATTGTAATAAGCCTGTTGTTGCATGTTCCCTCCATCTCCACCATACATGTAGTTCCCCTGTTGCTGACCTTGAGGAGGAGGAGCACCGTTGAAAAGCTGTGGAGCTTGAGCCGCGAACTGGGCTAGCGGGTTGGAGAAATTTTCCCCGGCTCTGTCACCAAAATCAGCGGGTGCATCCCTAGCGGCAGCTAGTGGGACATTCTGCTGAGGGCTCGGTTGAGGATATGATGGAGCCGCGTACGAGTAGGACGGCGCAGTGCTCTGCTGTGAAGCCACCGTCGTTCCTCCGGCTAGATTCTGATAGTTCATATGATGGGAAAACGCCAACTAGATATTACACTCTTATTGGAAGATCCAAAATCCGCCCAAACTCAACCCACTAGCACAGATGACCACGACGAAAACTTTCCAGGGCATTTCCAATGCGACCATGTACACTTCGATAGAAAAAAACTCACAGCTTCATCTCTAGGCATCTCACATGACTTTGATTTCCTGCTGGAAGTAAACAACCTAACCGGTAAGGCACAACCGCATTTGGTTAGTCCTCGGAATTCTTCGCCCCTACATAATCGGCCGTTTATTGTCGAGGACTTAGCGTCCTCGATACTTGTATTCCCTTGTCCACCAGCTCAGTGAGCTGTGTCGAGGTGGACCCTTCACCAGAGCTATCTTCCTCCGAGTCGCTTTCATCATCAAACAAAGGTGACGTCTCAAGAGGGGGTGCTGTCGGAGGCTGCGGAAACACTCCTGCGGTCTGCACTCTTCCTAGGCTTTCCGTAATTGTAATCGTCTGCAAGACCATGCTCAGTGTGGGAGAATACGCACATGTTTTGGTGATGATATCAAGATTCTGACGAAATTTTGGAGAAGTTCTGCTGAATTTTTCCTTTCTTATACAAACTCGGCTAGAAGAGTACAGAAATCAGAAAAAAATTCTCGAAAAATTTCCTCAGAGTTTCCGTGTTATCACCAGCACACCAAATTGACCATGTGTATATACTTCCCCACACTGGAGACGATATCCGCTCTTTTTTCGCGCACGCCCCCCCCCCCCCACCTTGATACACTGGGTCATAACTGTCAGGTCCGTGAAAGCGTCATCCATCTGCACCATGAGCTCCGGAATATGAACGTCAGTACACTCCAGCATTGGCAAATACACCCGCTCTTCAAGTTGCCTAGACTATGAACAATCACCAGAAATCGCTCAGAATTCCAACTCACTCAGTCCCGCATACCTCCACCACCTCGCTCAGCGTCTTAGCGTAGACCACACAGTTAAACATATCTTTACTCCGTATTTCCCCTTGTACCTACAAAGCCGCTTACCGGGTAGTGGACACGAAACAACACCCCCTCTTGCCAGGAGCATGCCCTCGCAGAACTCCTCCGTGCTAACCATACCGTCCCCTGTGTCGAACAGCGTAAACAGCTCCGGTAGTTCCGATACGTCAAGATCGAGCATAGCCAGCCTTCGAATGAACTTAGGGTCGTCCAGCACGTCCGTAAACTCCTGTGAGGACAACTCGCCGCTCCCATCCTCGTCGAGTTCTTCAAATAACATCTTCAAAGCCTCCACAGCCTCCTGTTGACTTGACCGCCTCATACTAGCCAGCAGCTCCTTGTCAGCCGACACCGCCGAGAACGCTTGCTCTACCACTATAGCGGTCACCAAATTAAACAGGACAAATGATGAAACACCGATAAAGAGCAGAATGACCCCAAACCCCACAAGGGACGTATGCATGATAGGCCGCACCTACACAAACGGCTTGTCTCAGGCACGGGCGTGTGAACGGCATACCACACTTCCGGCCCAGCTGTCTAGGGTCATCACTTGAAATAACGTGAACATAGAATTCCCCAGCGAGCCGAATAAGCTGTGAACCTGCCGATACTACATGTACGGCCGAATACCGTCGAAAACCCCACATATTCGTTTCCCTCGAGGTCCCCACTACTTCCAACAATGTGCAGTAAAAGTAACCCGAATAGTAGATGGACCAAGCCAACGATAGCATAGGTCCACACGAGCAGCTTGCCAGAATCCGTAAAGCCTTGTACCATAATCCAAAGCTCGCGGAAACCACTGACAGTCCGCACGCCTCTGACCAGCTCTCGTACTCTCAGCAACCGCAATATCATCATACTACCAAACATATTAGCCGGGATATTAAAAAAGGGTCGAAGCACCCAAACCGTGAGGAACTGACAGCCATGCAAGAAGACCGTCACCCAGCAGACCTACTCCGGGAATCCATATGAGAAACGCATCGATGCAGTTGGAGATAGATAGGAACCACACTAACCCTTCCGCAGCAACTCTGAGGAAGAACTCGACAACCTACCAGACCGCATACGGAGTCCTCCCGAGCTCTTCACCCACCAGGATGAGAATGAGAAACCTTTGCATGGCATCGATCCACATTGGCTCCAACGTAGTTGGAAAGTCTGGATAATACCTAATCACGATATGTCCATATCATAGTAGTTACAGTCCTATCTTATGTGCCATATCTGGATTCCCAACTACCAGCAGGGCAACACCGCGAAACCCTCCACGTACGTACGTGGAAACTCCAATGACCAGTGAATTGAGCAAGTTCACTGCTCCAGAAATCGTATCGAACTTTGGTGCACGAACCTACGAGTGCATTCTCAATAATAGCAGCAAAGAACTCCCACGTACTATGCGACGAATCTTCGGATACCTCGGCCGAAAGCGGTCGAGCTTGCGGTCGTCTCGAGCCGCCTGGATCCTATTACGTATCTACCATCACTCGGTCATACTCCAGATGTGACCTGATCCCACGGTACTGCAGTGATGCCGCACCAGCCGTTCAAGAGCTCCACCCACGACGCCTTCGACCTCTTCTTCGCATGGTACGATCGAGACTTGCCAGACGAGTAGAAAGGCGACTTGGAGTAGCTCCTGTTGGACTTACCGAACGGATTCACATCATTAGCACCCATCACCGACTACCGAAATAAACATGATGAGGGAAAGCCTACATATAATAACAACAAAATCACCAGCCTAGAAGCCCATTGATGCAAACCAAAGTCGACGAAAACAAAAAGTTATATATTTCATCTCACTCCTACATCTGCTATGCAATGTTGTCCACCTGCCCGGGTAGTTCATTCGAACTTCTCAAAAATCTATCCTCGATGTGTGTCCTTAATCCACCTTGATCGAGCCGTATATGGCACGGACGAAGAAAAACGTCGCGATAAATCCAATACCTACCATAAATCCTGCGAATCCCACGCCAGTACGACTACTCCCAATCACCAGAACTTACACCCAGTCAAGAGGAAGAAGGCCGCCGAGATCATCGCCATATAACCCACATAAACTACTATCGAGACCACATTCACGATTTGCAATCGGGTTCCAAGGTACATCAAGGAGTAGCTGAGAGAGCGGTATATAACATTAATAAATCACAATGGACTACCACTCACCCGAACACATACAGTGCACTCGTTCCTGATACGAAGAAGCTTCGCCACCACCAACGGTAGTCCTCAGCGGTGAGCTGGAAGTAGGTCAGGGCTATTGACACCTCCGCACACGTAATGACGAGGACGAGGTAAACAAGAACGACGAATCCGAAGAGGTAGTAGAACTGATGCTGCCATAACGAGCTCATGATGAAGAACAACTCCGTGAAGACCGCGCCGAAGGGCAGGATGCCACCAACCAGGCATAGCAACCAGGGCCTCAGGAACCAAGGCTGCGGAGGGATAGGTCGAGGAATCGAGTTGACTCGGCAGGGGAAACCAATAGATTCTCTCTTATACGCTGCAGCTGCGCCCAGGTACACCAAGGGTACAGAAATCCCAAACCATAAAACCAAAACCTAAAACCGATCAACTGCTTTCACGTAAATGACCACCAAACCTTACCGCGAACATTGTCGTGAATGGTACTGCTCCTGACGAGCCTTTCGCCCAAGTCAGCAAGTTGAGGAAGAAAAACATCGCAAACACAGAACCTGATACCACATCACAAAAACATCGCATATGTTTCTGACGTAACTCACCAGGGTAGACTAAGGCTGTCAACATCGTAGTACTGCGATGATGCTCAGATGACGTTGGTGCTAGGGTCTTCCCAAGTCGCCCAGAAACGTATCTGAAAGCACACACTGATAGGAAGAGTACCGGTTCATGAGTATTACCCAGCCGGAACGCCCATGAAGGCGAAAAGCAGGACCATTCCCTGCAATAAAGCTCCTCTATGAACCGGACTCAGAAAGCCCAGGGTCGCAAAGATAAGAACCAACCCACACATAAGCAGTAGCTGTATTCCACTACCCACACATACACAGAGCAATCGTCTATGAGGTGGAGGTCGAAACACGTCTCCATGGACCATTTTCCATCCTGCTTCCTCCTGAGCTTCTTCAGCGGTCATTTCTCCAACAAGCTCGTTGTACTTAGCAATATCACGCGCAAGAGTTCGGATGAGAATCATAGCCACCATACCAGACAAGAACAACGCGATAAGCACCGAGTTAATGATGCTGAACCAGTGTATTTGGCCAGACCCTGGGGACATTTGAAGGTAGATGTCCCAGCGTGTCACCCATTCCTTATCGGGGTTCTCAGTCCATTCCACATCATAGGTGTATCTGATTATTCAGTGGAGTTTCATGACCGTGATATGGAAAACATATTTCACGACTACTGCATATCACCGCGAATATCCGGTTTTTCACAGAGTATTACGCCATTCCACGTAAAACGGGTGGTGAAACTCCAGTGGGAGAATATACGTTTGGTTCCCTCAACTGAGCTCGTACGTTTCTTCACTACAGTATGAAAATTCACACACGATTTTCGTTAGAAGTATACAAAAATCAATGATAATTTCCCAAAATTTTCTCAGAATTTGATGACCATGTGCATATACTCCCACACTGGTCAGTCTACTGACACATCATCCCGAACCGCCTCCTACGTGATAGTCTCTGCCTTGTCGAGGTCAAGAGGCTCCAAAGAGGCTCCTTCGCTTTGGCAAACAGCCGAGTCACCACCATCCCTCACAAACTGCTTCAAACTGCTTGGTTCAATCTCAAACCCCACCACTCGGTAAAGCGAGACCCCGCTGTCGTCAGCGTCCTCGGGACGATGATACTCCAACTTGAACTTCAAATGATTGTGCAGAAAATACTGATCTTTCTGAAATCACAGCAACCTCAAGTGTTGGCGAACAGCTACCTTCTACTACTACTACTACTACTACTACTACTACTACTACTACTACTACCAGTTGAACTCCCAGAGGGAACCCACTCATGACAAATACTTGATTCTTCTCACCTGAGATGCAAAACTCCCACATCATGCACTTAGCAATATTAAATTACCATCATCAGCATCTTTAGTCTCCTTCTGGGGATCTCTAACCATAAACTTCACGGCGCCAGGGAGACGGTCCACATTCATATTCACAGTATACCTAAAGCCTCAACATGAACGCCCGACGCCAGTCTTGGCAAATATACTCGCTTTCCTCAACTGAGCTCAAGAATTTTCTCGATTAATGAACTCGGATAGGAGTGTACAAAAACCAACAAGAACCTCCCAAAATTTCCTCAGAATTTTCAAATTGGCACCAACCCATGTCATCGGCCATGTGCATATATTTCAAAACTAAGCCCGAGCGGACGCGAACCATTTTAACTTACTGGTCACGTATCATCTGTTTGATAGTCTCCTTAAGTTCAGCTGAGAGCTGATCTTTGCATGCAATCTGACACTTCAATGATCGCAGCATTTGGATTTTGTAACTGAGATGGAAACATGTCAAGCCCGAGATGAGAGATGGCGAAAATTCCTGTAAACCTACCTGGTCGGGGACATCATCTGTCCGCTCAAAAGTTCACCAAGATTAGCGCTCACTTCAGCTGATTTGTCCTGAACACTTAGCCCTGTTATAGAGATGAAGCACATACGCTTACAGCAACAACTCCACATTGAGAATTGACCGCATGAGTCTTGAAATAGTCCATCGGTAGTTGCGTGCGGACCTGAGGCCAAATGAATGTACATTAAAAACCATCATACGTACGCTGGTCATTTCGTTGACTGAGAGAGGTACGTCCTCTCCCTCCTTATAGTCTCGTGGGGCGATACCGGGCAGGAGGAGCGAGGCAACGCTATGTACCAACAAAGCGAAGCATAACCAGGTCAGACCTGGATTCCAGTGCTTCGTGAGGGAAGCCATATTACAAAGGAACTATACCCAGTTTATATTAACCTCTAGACCGTTATAGGATAACCCATTGCCAACCGACTGTAGAGTAACACAACTTGAAACACTTTTGGAGTGGTGTCGAACTGTATTCGATAGCAGCGCTTCCCGATACATTGTACGATCGAATCCCAGCGGTACTCAAGCCAACGACATCACGACTGGGCGAAGGGAGAACGTTTCTTGGTAACCCGAGACTGCCTCGAGACTGCCGAGACGCGAGATGCTCTAGTGGTGGGTATAAACATGCTCATCACAAAGTCCTCGAGTCGTTACCGTTAAAGGAGGGTCAGGAATGGAG